TGTTGGCCAGCACACATGACCTCCTGAGCCCCGCCAGCTGTGGGGACACTCTTCAGAGTGTGCAGAGGCCCCCCAAGGAGGCCTTGCTCCTTGCTGAATCAAAGGTGGAATGCTTCATCACAATTAACACGCTCAAAGCTGTCGTTTCTAGAGTCTCTTCTGGGTTTGTTCTTAAAGCTGACGCTGGTCTGTCTGCTATTTCTTTCCTCTGCCTTTGTCCTAGTATTACACACCCCGGTCGTAGGAATAATAACTATAACATTTATTTACTTAACAGTCACTTAGCACTTAATTTGTAGCATTCACTGTTTTAAGTGCTTTCCAAATACTAGCCCATCCTCAGAGGTAGGTACTGTTATTCACTTACCCCTCGGGAAACTGAGGCACGCAGGGATTAAGTAACTGGCCCAGGCTTGCATAGCCCATAAGGGAAGAATCCGCCTCTGGAGCCTAAACCCTTTACCACATCGTTGTTCTTGCTGAAATATTAACAAGAGCTAACATTTCCTAAGACCCAGGCATGCGCCTCCATGTCCCTGTGGGAGGGGGTGGTCAGCCCCACCCTGCAGACAGCGGCAGAGCTTCACCCTGGCAGTCTCCCCCAGCTACCATTTTGCCTCCAGAGTCAGGAATAGCTGGGCTCCCACAGGATTTTTTTTTTTTTTTTTAATTTATTAATATACATTCGTTCTCCAGTGAGAGGCTATTGTAAGATTTCAAGGAATGAAGTTGAAAATCCTTTTTCATTAATTAGTGTGGAGAACACATCCCAGAAATTGCCACCTCTTCCTCTCCCACTTTTCCAGAGGTGTTCAACCCTCAGGGCAGACCAGTGTCTGGAAGCTACCTGCCAGGCTTTACTGCTGGGGAAAGCATCAGCAATTAAAGGACCTGGTTCCAGAGTGATGGCTCTTTTTTATTCATGGTATTCCTGTAGTCAAGAGATCTAATCCCGACACCGGCCCCCCACCACCCCACCTTCTAACCTGCCTTCCCCTCTCTCCCCCTGCTTTTAAATTGGAACTACTGGTTCCAGGCAGTGGGAATGAAAATAAATGAGCTGTGAATGAATTGTCTCTGCTCCCTCCCACACTCACCCCCTGAAATTGCAATTTAATAACGAACATTCAGCCTCTATGTAATGTGTTTATCTCCCCTTAAAGAAACAGACCTGTGGGGGAGACTGGGAAGAAGCATAGCAAAACATCTGGGTGGTAAACTCAATCTCCATTTGAAGTGGTCTTGGGATGAAAATGTAGCCCTTAGGATAAGTTTGCTTCCCCTTTTAACAGGGCTGGTCTTAGCTGGATCTGTGCTTCTTACACAGGGTCGTAGAGAAATACTTGGAAAATCGTTACCCCTGGAGATGTTAAAATAAGTTATTCCTTACCATGTCACCACTCACCCTAAGAGTTTGTGTGAAATCACTTAAATTGCTGTACCTGATGCTATTGATTAGGCTGTCTGAAGAGGGTCTCTTTGGATGACTCTGGTCACAATCCCCAAGGCAGGTCTCAGATGAGTGTCCCTGATCTTCCTACATGCTGCTGAATTTAAGAGGCATTGGCGGCAGCAGCTTTTACCCTCCTGGAAGCACCTGGGCTTCCCACTGAGCCTGGTCTCTCGATCACAAGTCATAGTGCAGGAGGACCTTGCTGACTAGCAGAGTGGTACATACCCAGGGGGCAGAAGTTTCCCTTCCCCCCACCCCCAGGTCACAGGGAATTCATTCAGGGAGAATTCGAGGGCAGGTGGGCAAAAGAAGTAGTGAAGTTGTACCTATTTATATGGTATAAACAACATTTATAACAGTAAAGGAAATGAAATTGTTTCCCACATTCCCTCAACTAAATATATATTTATTGTCTCTGTTTCCTTCCAGTCTTTGTCTAATTGTATAAATGTTTTTTTTTTCCAGTGGCATAGTGTTGATGGCATTTTTGTTGTGGTCCTTCATTTAACATTTCATCAGATGTATTTCATGCTCCAACATGGTTTTATAACTATATAATGACTACATTATGATGTGTTATTATACTTTATGCCCCATTGTTTTTAAATTGTTTTCAATATTTTACTTTTACCATCAGAAAGCATATGAAATTGGATCAGAAAGCATGAACATTTTCATGGCTTTTGATACATAAAGTCATTTCCTTTACTAAAAAATAATATTCATTTGTATTTGTTTCCAATAACATCAATAGGTCTATTTTATTTTCTTTCCCAAACAGGCCTATTTTAAATCATAACCTTATTGGTAATAGGAGTCATATCTTAAATACTTGGCTAATTTAATGGGGACAAAATGATTGCTTGGTTTTAATTTATGCATCTCTGATTGCTACTGAAATGAACCTTTCCCCTTATTTAATTGGGTTGCCTCTTATGTGAATTGTCTGTATTCTTTGCATATCTGCTCGAGACTTGGCATTTTTCTTACAAATTTATATAAATAACCAATAACTCCCAAGGGCAATCAAATTAATCCTTTAAGTTTAAACATGGGAATGAAAAGAAACTGCAAATATGAATTTAACATGTACTACATAAACACATGTCTAAGAAAAATAATATCAAATTTTATTTGCTTATTTAGTGCCAGGCACAATTCTAGGCATTTTTACCCAGCTCTGTGAAATATGTACTACTTTATTCCCATTTTATAGATGGAGAAACTGAGGCAAAAGAGATTAAGAAATTTGCTCAAGCTCAAACCCAGTAGGTAAGCCTGGGTTCAGAAACCTACTTTATTTGTTTCAGGTGGACTGAATAGATTTCATTTTAGGGTGTTGCCAACTTACATGCTGAATGACGAATTTTCACCATTTTGGGTGCTGCAATAATATGAGCATTTAAGTCATTTGGTCTGTTGGTTGAGAAATAAATGTGGAGGGATAGACAGGCAGGCTGCTTTTATTAGGGGGACATAAAAATGTATACAAATAAAAACAATTGAATTCTGCCTAGAAACAATAGTGTAAGAAAAATCTGGAGGTCTGTTTCCTCCATTGCTCCTTCCCCACCCCCCAACACAATCCATTTGTCAGGTTTGCGGTGTGGAAATGTGGGCCAATAAAATTGTAATCACAATCAAGTAAAAATCACATTGTGCCACAGTCCAGAGACTTATCATCTGTTTTAGTGACTGAGTTGTAATCTGTGAGTTGTAGTGAGCTTTTATATTTTGAATTATAGCCTTTGAATGTCTGTCTATGGCGAGAATAACAGCACTGTCAGTTTGGGGTTTCAGGTTAGTGTGGTGAATCCTGGTGAGCTCTTTGAATCAGTGCTCTCTGCAGTATCTTTCTGAGTGAAATATGGAGCTGTGAAATCCTGGTAGGTGGTTGTCCTTCAGTTAAGAAGAGAGGAGCACAATAGATGTGCCTAGGTTGGCTGCAGGAACTTCAACTCTTATCAACTTGAACAAGTTACTAAAAGAAATCAACGTTTAACCTAAGAATTTTAGATTGCACACTATCTGCCATGAGGAATCCAAGCTCTGGAGACGAGAGTTAATTAGGTTTGTTTTCCTGTTGAGTTCGAGAATCTAAGAAATAAGTTCCCCTTGTGCGGTTCAGCCACCAAGGAGAGTGGGCTGGTTATTTATGTGTTATCAAAGGCTAGTGTTCAGTCACTGAGTCATGTCCGACTCTGCGACCTCAGTGACCGCAGCACGCCAGGTTCCTCTGCCCTCCACTGTGGAGTTTGCTCAAATTCATGTTCATTGAGTTGGTGATGCTGTCTAACTATCTCATTCTCTGCTGCCCCTTTCTCCTTTTGCCTGCGATCTTTCCTAGTATCAGGGTCTTTTCCAATGAGTCAACTCTGCAAAGGTAGCTTCAATGGTAGTTATCAAAGGTAGCTTCACTCATAAAGCTGGATCTTTGCTGAGACGGCAGCAGGTTTTAAAGGGGGATAAACTTTTCTCAACAGGGTTACCTGACTGCGATGGTTGTAGAACCTCCTAAGGAGTAATTAGGAAGCTTGCTGATGAGGCCAAAGATCACTGTGTACCTTCTCATGGCCACTGGTTGGAAGCAGATCTGTGCCATGCTTGGCTTGTGGAGCAAGGACTGGATTTTGGTTCCAATGGGTGCCCTGGTCTGGGTGCTTTTGTGTAATACACAAACTACACCTGTGTGCTGTGACTTGGAAAAGACTCAGTAAAACATAGCAGGATAAGGGGCAAAATGATCCGGTGCAGATCCATTTCACTGTTTTTAATGTAGTAATTCACTGATAATGTGCATTTTAACGTGCGCTTTCTAGCACCTGGGGCTGCACCTCTCTCTCCTCGTTGTGCCGCAAGCACACCTGTCTCATTCTTATCTCCTGGGTCAGCAAACAGTCACTGCTCCTTTCTTTCCACTTGGCTGTCTCCAACTTACCCCTCAGGTCTCAGTCAGATCTTGCTTCTTTCAGGAAGTCTACCCTGAACTTCCAAGGCTGAAGGATATCCTAATTAGGTACCCATTCTTGAACTCCCCCACAGCAGCACTTAATACACGACAATATTGTGCTTTCTCTTTTCTTGTCTGCATGACTTTGCCAGCATATAAACCTCATGAGAGAAGAACTATGCTTTTCCTGTTCACGGTTGTTTTCCAAAGATGTAGCATAATACCTCACACCTAGTAAACATTTATTGAAGAACAAACTCATAAATGCATGTGTATAAACTCTTCTCAGTTGATGGATTCTGAATATTGGCTTTGGCCTGATTTTACTGGTTGTGCTAGGTTTTGCTATTGAATAAGTGACATCAGCTCACAAGGCAAATCCTTGGTGAGATGCTGCAGAAGGCTGCGTGGTATTTCTTAGGCATCTGCTCTCTTTTGGCTCACTGATTGAGGAGAGCCTGCCTGGATAAATGCACTAGAGGGTCCTGAATCATGCGACTTACTCAGATGATGACATCAGAGCCAAAGAGTGATCTGGTTTTGGAAGAGCAGGCTTAGTTCTGAAGCACACTGACCTCCTCCTCTTGCCTCCTCTAGCACTGGAAGACGCAGCGCAGCGAGGAGTATGAAGCGGAAGGTAGGAACCGAGGGTGTGCCGGGCTGGCCTGGGACATTCACAGGGCTGCATTCACAGGGCATTCTCCACAACCCCTTCCCGAGGCCCTGCCCTCCTTCCCTACAGCCCTACCTGCCGGAGGCCAGCTAAAGCAACCTGAAGTACAACAGCAACAAAAAATTCATTCCCAATTGATAGCTCAGAGTTTTAAATCATTGCTTTTAACATCATGCAAGATATGGCAACGGAGATGTGGAATTTCACTTGTGGGTTAAGTACTGTCTTACATAGACTTTCACATTAATCTATAAACCATCCTAAACGATTTACTGATGCATCCCTTGACAAGTTTCATGGTGATGTCCTCACCAGCAGATGGCACTGTGGTTCAGCTGACAGATCTCCGCCCACTTCACAGCCTACCCTGGATTAACTGTGCTTAAGTGTAATTACAAATTCTCTAGGTCTCCAACCTGTAAAGACACAGCAGTAATAGGCTTAATGTCTATTTATTAAAATAAATAGTAGGGGTAGCACTAAATACTCTTCTCAGCCCTCCAGGGTACTTGCAGGCACACAGTATCATGCCAATAATTAGCTCATGTTTAAGTAATGACTTGACAGAATCTCTAATGTGAAAGTAGAAATCTTAACTAGAAGTGAGAAATTTTCATAGAGAATAAATATTTATTTTTAATAAGTAGGCTGATCCTTGTATCCTCAAGTAGAATTTATCCTTAATATGTTCTTAGTTGCTTGCTTGTGTCTGACTCTCTGCGACCCCATGGAAGCCCACCAGGCTCCTCTGTCCATGGAATTCTCCAGGTTAGAATACTGGAGTGGGTAGCCATTCTGTTCTCCGGAAGATCTTCCTGAGCCAGGGGTAAAACCCAGGTCTCCTGCATTGCAGGCAGATTTGTTACCCACTGAGCCACCAGGGAATCAACTATCCTTAGTATACAGATAATTAATAACTTGCAACCATTTTTTTTTAAGTTAGGTTGCTTATAGGTCAGAATATTCATGTGTAAAGATTTAGAAACAGGCTACTCTTGAGACTTTTATCATTATTTAATGATATTTACCATGAAATTATTTCCTTCTCAGTAAAACAGTGTTTAGACTAGAAAGAAAGTAGAGATAATAAAGTCTGGTAGCTATAGTTGAGGTAGGGTGTAGAAAGCTCTTTAGAATGGCTCTCAACCAGCCTTTTCTTTCAGTCACACCAAAGCCTAAGCCTGTGCACATTTTTCTTTGAAATAAAACAAAGCTAGAACCTTGACATGACTGCACCGGAATATTTCTCATAGGGGTATAACTGCCAGTGAACAAAAGAGTGCCTGTTGGCCTTTGTTGCAGCCTAAGAACCAATGGTTCTACTTCATTTGAACTTCCGGATCGAATCAACACTTGAGACCTGGGTTCGATCCCTGGGTCAGGAAGACCCCCTGGAGAAGGAAATGGCAACCCATTCCAGTATCCTTGCCTGGAGAATCCCATGGATGGAGGAGCTTGGTAGGCTACAGTCCATGGGGTCGCAAAGAGTCGGACATGACTGAGCGACTTCACTCACTCACTCACTCACTCACTCATTTTCAAAAAGCATATTTTTCTTTGAGTATAGGTGCTCTCTTTGTGCAGTTCTTTTAGGGACAATATAATATATGCTTTTCTTTTAGGCCAGTTAAGATTTTGGAACCCAGATGATTTGAAAGCCTCACAGAGTGGGTCTTTGGCTCCCCAAGACTGGATAGAAGAGAAACTGCAGGAGGTTTGTGAAGATTTGGGGATCACTCGTGATGGTCACCTAAACCGAAAGAAGCTGGTCTCCATCTGCGAGCAGTATGGTTTGCAGAATGTTGATGGAGAGGTGAGCATTGCATTGTATTTTTATTCAGGAATAGTCATCGTGATACAAGCTAACCTGGCCACAGGCTAGAACCAGCCATGTTTTGGTTTCCTGCAGCAAGTTACAGAGACTCCATGCTCTTTTTTTCCTGGCAAGTCAGCCGTCACGTTTCTGTCTCTGAGGCGCTTATGTTTGTCGTGGGAAAAAAAAACTGACAATAACTGATAATTACTGAACCCAAACTGTGTGTACCTCGCTGTGCTAAGCATGTTACCCCACATTATTATTAGACACCAGCTCACTGTAGCCGTGATGTCAGTCTATTTGTAGATGTGGCACTCACAGAGTCAGATGTGAGAAAAGTGTGGAGGCAGGACAAGGCAGAGAGTTCAGGAGAGTTGAGTTGGGGGAATACTTTGAAGCCCAGGCTGATAAGTTTAGCCTTTGGAGAGACAATCTCCATATCATCCCTGGGTTCTTTAGCAGATTACATAATATATTGGAAAAACTTACTTGCTAAGGGTGGTCTGAACTTCTTTTATGGAGTATATAGGTATAAAGAGAGCCATAGATTAGGACACCAGCCAGGAGTCACCACAGTAATCTGGTCATGAGGAAATGGAAAAAGAAAGGTTGATGGTTTTGAAAATGTACAAGAAAGAAGCCCCCAGGATGCTCTTTCTTGGTAAAATTCTCAACTTTACATTTTCTAAAAAATTAAGAGCGGTGGCAGGACTGGGTGCATGAACAGCCATGAAACAAAAGAATGTAATTCCAAGACACGTCTTTCAAAGAGTTGAAAATAAGGATTGAAGGGACTTAGAGGTTAGGGCTAAACAGTTGTACAAGCTTTGGGTAACTTTGATTATAATGGTACTCGAAACCATGTTATCTGCTTGCTCAGAGGATAAGTGGTTTTATTTTCCTAAACCAGAATGAGATTTATTATCAGAAGCTTCCAAGCAGCCTAGCTTGCAGAAAAGTTCTCCCTCCTCCTCCTCCCTGTGTATGTGACCATGGCACACACTCTGACTGCCTTTTAATGGCTCCGCAGTCATTTATTAATCAGTGGTGACTGTTGAGTCATAACATCAAATGCATCCTCCTAAATTATAAACCAGTGCAGTGTACAGAACCTTGGGTTGTTTTTGCCAAGAAATATTGCACAAACTTGGATTATTTATCTAAGAACAAATCTTGGAATAAACTGTAGCTGTTTATGGGGAGTTGCATTTTCTTCTGTGGTGGAGTTTCCAGGAAAAGAAGCAGCATTTATTCTCCTCTGCTGTGAGGATGAGTGAAGGATTGCTAATTGAATGTAGCTTTTACTTAGTGTTTTTCCTCCCTGCCAAAATCATGAAATACTATAGTGCTTTTGTACTACTAGCTCTAGACCACGGAGGAGCTGAAAGTTCATGATGATCTCACCGACACACAGCTTGGAATCCTAGAATTTTAGAACTGAAAGCAATTTTAGATTTAGTCACCCCCCATTTTATAAATAAAGAAAGAGGTCACTGCCGCCTGTTGCCATCATCAGGGAAACTAGATTGACTATCTTATAGCTGAAGCTGGTACCCTGCCTTCCAGAAGCCAGGATGGCTGTAGGGCAGGGAAAGCAGACTATCACCCCTGTTGTTTAGTCGCCAAGTCATGTCTGACTCGAGCACTGTAGCCCACCAGGCTCCTCTGTGGGATTTCCAGGCAAGAATGCTGGAGTGGGCTGCCATCTCCTTCTCCAGGGATCAAACCTGGGTCTCTTGCTTGGCAGGAGGAGTCTTTATCACTGAGCCACCTGGAAAGTCCAGAGGCCAGATATGGCCCAAAGGCCATGGGGCCTACACAATGTTTAAAAATTGAACTATTTGCTATACTTTTAAAAATCGGGACTTTTTCCCCCTGAAAATCAGAAGATTTGGCTCCATTTTTCTGGTAATGAGAAGCGGCTCGCCCCTTTGGACAGGGCATGCACTCAGATGTTCCATTCACTGCTTTAAAAGGCTTCCAAGTAGCCTTTTAAAAATGTCTCAAGACCAGCCTGCCTCATTCATTTATATCACCTTCCTGGCCCCTCTGGCTATTTCCCAACTTACACTTTGGGAAAGACCTGGCTGGTGATAGGAAGGAAGAATGTCCTCAGGGCTCTAGATTCAGCTCCTGCGGAGACTGCAGGGTGTGTCCCACTGATTTGCATTCTTATCAGTCCAACCCAGTCCCTCTGTCCTCTTCTGAATCCACATTCATTTACTCACCACTTGCCCACACCCTGTGTCTAATAACTGGCAGGACTGATTACTCCACCACTTGGAATGGATCCGGTGATGGGTGTTGAGGCAGTCGGGAAGCTGTACATTGATTTGGCCAAGGTCACAGGGCCAACCAATGTGGAGCTAAGGTTAAAGGCAAAATATGCTGGTTAACTTCAGTCATCACTGCTGGATTTTACTGTGCCTTCTGGCTTGACAGTTCTGAAAGCCTAGTCCTCAAAGAAAGTGTTCTTTTGTTTGATAAAAATGAGACAGAGAATCTAAGGGAGCTTGGCAACCTCCCGAATTTTGCCCAAAATATCTTTCCATCTGTTTCTTCGTATGATTCTCTATAGGAACCGTTGCTTCTTCCAAAGACTTCCACCCTTTAAAATGGTTTTGTTTTGGAATCCTCTCCAGAGGAAGTGGTAGAAAAACAAGAAGAGAGACAGATGTTTCCCATTGGATATGAATTGGAAAAAAAGCATTCAAGATAAAAGAAATGCTGCAAGCACTTAGCTGAGGGATAGAATCAACAATTAGGAGATGACAGGAGTCCTAGCAATAGTCCAGACTTAGGAAATAAATATTGAAAATTTGAGGATTTGTTACAAAGAGGCTTTTGTTAGAAGGAACCCAGTTGCAGGCACTAATGGTTAAGTTTGTTGCTTATTCAGTTCTTTGCTACTCAGCAAATTAGGCATCATCTTTTTAGAAATGTAGAATTCCCAGGCCTCAGCCCCAGATTTAACTACATGAGTCTGTGCTTTAACAAGATCCTCAGGTGATTTCTGCTTCGTACAATGGGGTCATGTTCTGTAGAAAAATTTCAGCCCCCCCAAATAGGAAGCTGATGGTGAGAATGGAGGGCTTTGCTTTCCCTCCCTATTTTGTGGTGTCTGTGATTCATGTTGCTTTATTCCCTTTTCCATTCCTCTCTGAGTTAGGGAACAAACCATCTCCCAGGCATGCCTCTAGAAGGGACTCCGTATGATGAGGACCACTTGATTACTGTCAGAGGGGCAAAATAGTCAGGCAGAATTTCCTTCTCTTCACATCTCTCGGAACACTTCTATTGCACACACGTGAAATTCTTCCTATCCAGTCCTCATTTCTGCTGTGCAAAAGCATTAAAAATAATTAAAAACACCAAACACCGCAGTGTGGTTCCAAGTAATGTTCTAAATTCCAAGGCATGGGTTTCAGACCCAAGCTCTTAAATCATTGGAACCTGTCCCAGACCCAATTATGCTAGTTTCTAAAATTTCATATAAGCAAAATATCATGTGGAGTCCGCATAATATAATGGCTTAATGAATGTCTGTTTTCTTCTGTTACAACTCTGGGAAGCTGTATCTTTATATTTTTCAGTAATTCTTCAACTCACAAGATAATGCATAGTAACGTTAAAGATAACCTGTTCTAAGAGGTATGAGCAAAAGAGAAAACAGTTAATTTCTAAGTTGCATAAAGTTATGAAGATGTTGAAAATGAATTTTATTTAGTTTCTGTGAGGGGGGAGGACATATTACTAGAAAGGAAAATATATTTAGTGAAGTGAGAATAAAGGGACATGTCATATTTCTGGAGCCCTGGGATCAAGAGTGGTGCCAATATCTACTGGTTTTGTTGTTTAATCACTAAGTCGTGTCCGACTCTTTGTGACTCCATGGACTGTAGCCTGCCAGGCTCTCCTGTACATTGGATTTCTCAGGCAAGAATAACTGGAATGGGTTGCCATTTCCTTAGACTGAGGGATCTAACTGGCGTCTCCTGCATTGGCAGGTGAATTGTTTCCCACTGAGCCACTTGGGACTAGAAGTGTACTTTGGACTTCATGGGGTTTTTTTTTTGAGAGAAATCGTTAAGATATATGGTTACCCTCTTCTAGATGCTTGAAGAAGTCTTCCATAATCTTGATCCTGATGGTATGATGAGTGTAGAAGATTTTTTCTATGGCTTGTTCAAAAATGGAAAACCTCTTACACCATCAGCATCTACCCCATATAGACAATTGAAAAGGCACATCTCCATGCAGGTAAGAAATAAATAGGAAGTGGATTCTTTGCGAGTAAAGTTAACATCTATTTGAATAATTTCTAGTGAGTTAATCTGCTGTCTGAAGAAAAATACTGAGGAGAAAGAGAAGCAAAAGAAGAGCAGAAAAGAAAGACTAAACCACTGGGGAAGTTGGGTTTGAGAAATGACCATAAATTATAGTAGGAAGACCACTAATTATGCCCCTCCTTGTTAGCTGTGGGCCAGAAGGAACCTGATGTTAAAGTAGAGATGCATCTCATCTGTATGCAGGATTCTGTCTGCCAGGTCAGCTGTTGATCAGCTTTGCATTCTTGACTGACTTGGGAAAGGAAGATCAAAGGGGCCACATGGCTTTTTATCCTAGCAGTATAAATGAGAGAAGCATGGCTCTGCCCCTTGTGGTCAGGACTGACTGCGTTTGGTTTTGACCAACATCATGTTGCAATGCCTGAGCTTGCTCAAGTCTCTTTCTTCTTCTAGTCTTTTGATGAGAGTGGACGCCGGACCACCACCCCGTCTGCAATGATGAGTACCATTGGTTTCCGGGTCTTCTCCTGCCTGGATGATGGGATGGGCTATGCATCAGTGGAGAGAATACTTGACACCTGGCAGGAAGAAGGCATTGAGAACAGCCAGGAGATCCTGAAGGTGTGGCAACTGAAATGGGAGGCAAATGACAAGTTGGGAAGGGTTGAAAAATTCTGTCTGTGATTTGATTTGATTTCTCCTTAATGATTCTTCTGTTCACAAGATCTCAGACATAAGAGATAACTTTTCCTACCCCCTTTAACCAGGAGTGTTGCTGACTTCATGTTTTTAACCCTAAATTATTGACAAGAAATTTCTTAACTGATCTCTGGTTGGTAAAGATTAGAGTTTTGCCATTGTGTTTATTTACAATGCCAGACAGCATTTTAAAAAAACACGTAAATGATCATGTTTTCCTTAGAGAGAACTTAGTTATGCTCTAGGTTGAATATTGTTCTGAAGCAATTATTAAAGAAATGTAAACATCCAGTTTGTAGATTATAAATTCAGTTCCCCAGGTCTGTATAACCTTCACATTTTCTGCTTTCTAAGGATGGAACTTATGGTTATCTTGAACTTGTTCTGATTTCTAGGCCTTGGATTTTAGCCTGGATGGAAATGTCAACTTGACAGAGTTGACACTGGCTCTTGAAAACGAACTTTTGGTCACCAAGAACAGCATTCACCAGGCAGCTCTGGCCAGTTTTAAGGCTGAGATTCGGCATTTGCTGTGAGTTGAGCAGAAAGCTTACCTGCTCTGTTCCCTTTCCTACTTGTTGAGCAAGTCCTTCGGATGCCTGTGGCATGTATTCTTCCATTCTGAAGGCCGTGGTGGCTAATCGCCTATCATCTCACTTCTGTGAAAGTGAGGTAGAGCTTAGATCTGCATGTAGGCTTTTGAAAAGGGCTGTGGAATGTCTTTGTGCTTTGGAAGGGTTCTGGTTGTCTTGGTTTTGTTTTTGTATTGGAGTAAGCCAGAGGAGAGTTTTTTTGGGTCTGCTTGTTGCCTAGTAACAGTCTCCCTTATAACTTTGTTTCTTTCTGGTTCTAGGGAGAGAGTTGATCAGATGCTCAGAGAAAAAGAGAAGCTACGGTCTGATCTGGACAAAGCTGAGAAGCTGAAGTCTCTAATGGCCTCAGAGGTGGACGATCACCACGCAGCCATAGAGCGGCGGAATGAGTACAACCTCAGGTGTGATGGGGGGGGGCCGGGGCCCTCCTTTCCCACCACCCTGGCCCAGAACAGTGGGGTTTGCCTGCCTGCCTGCCTGCTTGGCCACAGCTGGCTGGGGTGACTTAGGTGTGGCCAAGCCTACAGGAAAGCAGGGCTCACTGGATACTTTCTCAAGGAGCTTCCCATCTCTATGACTCTCCGTTTTTGGTGGCTCTACAGAGGGACCTCTCAGGGACTAGATGGCAGCCTGTCAGTCTTTCCTTCTCACAGGAAACTGGATGAAGAGTACAAGGAGCGAATAGCAGCCTTAAGGAATGAGTTTCGAAAGGAGAGAGAGCAGATCCTGCAGCAGGTGGGCAAGCAGCGTTTGGAACTTGAGCAAGAAATCGAAAAGGCAAAAACAGAGGAGAATTACATCCGGGACCGCCTCGCACTCTCTTTGAAGGTAATTATCCTCTTAGTTATATGGTCCGTGTGCTTTCTGGGAACACCTCATGGACAACCACAGCTCTGTAAGAGGACAAGTCTGCACAGGGCCCTTAAGTCTGGGTCAACACCTGGACATAGTAGAGCCCCACTGGGATTCAGGTTTCAGGGATGTCCAGGCTTCTGGTTTGCCAACAGCATATCTTGTTCTTACCTGCTGAAGTTGCAGTGAGTCCTCAGGCCTGTTTGGTACCTGGTTGATGCTGTCCCCTTCCTCATCCTTATTAGCAGATGGCTTTTTTTTCCTGCCACATAGAGGCCATCCACTTTATTTTTCTGCTCCCAAATCTACCTTTTCCCTTGCACGTCCTCCTCTTATTTCCTGTGCCTCAGTAGAGGAAGTGATCCTTCTCTTTATGGAGCTCTGACATCGGGTTATGTGGTACAGTGTCAGCTGGACCTGAAGGTGGGCGGGACCCTCTCAGGTCTTGGGAGGGGTCTGAACTCAAGACTGCCTGGTTCCAATCTGGATCCCACTACTTACAGAAGACCTTGATCAGGTTACTCAAGCCTGTTTCCTAATGTACAGGACAGTGACCATCATAATACCTACCTCATAGCATTCATGTGGAGATTGAGTGAGTTGCTACATATACTGTATCTGAAAGTAATAAGAACCTATGGAATAGTTAGTTTTGTTGAGGTTATGAAAGGTTCCTGAAACTCCACACATCAGAAACTGAGCCAGTTCTACCTCCCTAACCATCAAACTGCTTCCTCTCCTGAATTTTCACCCTAATCTCCATCACCACCCTGTGCTGTAAGCCATAGAAGTCACCGTCCTTGGTCATCCTGCATTCTCAGTTTCTGAATCCTGCTGATGTTCTGAAAGGCTTCTCAGATTTATCCCATTTCTCCATTTCCACAGCCTCTGAACAGGTTTGGAATTCATCACAGTTTCTCAACTGACTTATGTGCATCCTTTCTTCCATCTATCCAGCCTCCCTCCGCCTGGTCACCAGAGTTATCTTACTGCTGCTGCTAAGTCGCTTCAGTCATGTCCAACTCTGTGCAACCCCATAGACGGCAGCCCACCAGGCTCCCCCGTCTCTGGGATGCTCCAGGCAAGAACACTGGAGTGGGTTGCCATTTCCTTCTCCAATGCATGAAAGTGAAAAGTGAAAGTGAAGTTGCTCAGTTGTGTCCAACTCTTTTCGACCCCGCTCCTCTGTCCATGGGCTTTTCCAGGCAAGAGTACTGGAGTGGGGTGCCATCTTACTGAAGAACACTGAAAAATCATGCTATACCCTTTGTAAAAGTGCAGCATGGCAGCACTGAAGGGCCCTGAAAAGGGGTTCACGCTCCCACCTTCCTAATCTCAGGTCTTGCCAGCAAGCCCCAAGTCCACGCCCGACCTCTGCTGCACCTGCCGTCAGTGATTTCAGTCTCTTGGTGGGCTTTCAGGCTCCTCACTGCTTTCTCCAACACTGCAGGCCAAATTGCTTATTCGATCCCATTACACTTACTTTTTTTCTTGCCAGAAGATAGCATATTTTCTATCACATCTTAGGTAATTGTATCCATATCCATCTCCCCTGCCATGGCCCCAGTTGTGTGTTCTCTGTGGTCAGCAACAGAAGCTGACTTCTCAGTTTCCAAAGCACCAACACAGGCCCAGTTCACAGAGATTGCTCCTGATTATTTTAACATCTAAATTTAGACATACTTTGAAAGATTAGAATTCTAGAGTTGTCATTTGGGGGGAACGTAGTTTTCTTTTTTAAACACTTCAAGCACATACTTTTTCACTACATGTTAACTGTATAAGGGTGTGAACAAGAATATATTTGAAACACATTGGCTCTGCTTAAATGTCCATTGACAGAGGAATGGATAAAGAAGATGTGGTACATATATACAATGGACTATTACTCAGCCATTAAAAAGAATGAAGTAGTGCCATTTGCAGCAACATGGATAGACCTAGAGAGTATCATACTGAGTGAAGTAAATCGGACAGAGAAGGAAAAATATCTTATGACATCCCATATATGTGGAATCTAAAAAGAAATGATATTAATACAAATAAACTTACAAAATGGAAACAGACTCACAGACTTTGAGAATGACCTTATGGGTGCTGGTGGGAAGGATAGGGGAGAAAGGGTAGTTAGGGAGTTTGGGATGGACATGTATACACTGCTGATTTAAAATAGATAACCAACAAGGACCTACTGTATAGCACATGAAACACTGCTCAATGTTATGTGGCAGCCTGGATAAGAGGAGAGCTTGGTGGAGAATGGATACATGTATATGTGTGACTGAGTCCCTTTGCTGTTTACCTGAAACTACCACAGCATTTTGTTAATTGGCTATACCCTAATATAAAATAAAAAGTTTTCTAAAAAGAAATATATCATCTCTATATTTTGGCAAGATATGCCTCGAAAATATACAGGAAAAAACCCACATTTTGTGGACCTAGGTTGACATGTTATTATAATAATTTAAACATAACTTATGAAAAAAGCTGTATGTGTAGCTTTTATATTGGAGAAGGCAATGGCAACCCACTCCAGTACTCTTGCCTGGAAAATCCCATGGACAGAGGAGCCTGGTAGGCTGCAGTCCATGGGGTCTCTAAGAGTCGGACATGAGTGAGAGACTTCCCTTTCACTTTTCACTTTCATGCATTAGAGACAGAGACAGAAATGGCAACCCACTCCAGTGTTCTTGCCTGGAGAATCCCAAGAATGGGGGAGCCTGGTGGGCTGCCGTCTATGGGGTCGCACAGAGTCGGACACGACTGAAGCGACTTGGCAGCAGCAGCAGCTTTTATATCTTTAAACCAAAATCAAATTTTAAATTAAATATAAACCATGTCTATACCATCATTAAATGAAAATTGTTGGAGATATTCTCCTTTTTGTAGTTTCTCTGAGTTCTCTTTTGCTGTCAGATAAACATGGTATTCTGCAATCAGTCTTTTATTTGACATCCTAATGAGAACGCTTTTTCATGTCATTAAATTTTCAATTGCAAAGCTTTCAAATATAAGTACAATGCCAGTTATATGTAACTTAAAATTTTCAGACAGCCACATTAAAAGGTAAAAAGAAACAGATGAATTTAATGTTAAACCATTTTAATCTGTTATCTCTAAAATATTATAATTTTGACTTGTAATTAATATAGAAAACCTGTTATTGAGCTTTTTTTTTCCCATTTTTGTTCTAAATCCTCAAAATCTGGTGAGCATTTCATACTCACAGCTCCTCTACCTGGGACTGCTAGTGCCTGCTATTGGATAGCGTGGTTCTGTAGGATCAAGAAAAAGAAGAGGCATGCTTTGGGCTTATAAGATAAACATTGGTTTTTTTAATATTTACTTTTTCTCCTCTAACGTACTGAAACTTTCTCAATCTAGAGCATTGATTTATGCATCATATAAAATGGTACAACAGCTTCCTTTTTAATCCACGTAATTTCCCCAAATTTCTTCAGGAAAACAGTCGTCTAGAAAATGAGCTTCTGGAGAATGCAGAGAAGTTGGCAGAGTATGAGAGTCTGACAAACAAACTTCAGCGAAATTTGGAAAATGTTTTGGCAGAAAAGGTAAATCTGTTTAAATGTGATTTCCTGAAAGGTAACCCCAAAATGTAGTTTACTCAAAAGACCAGAAGCAGTGCCACTAAGAAAATGTCTATTATGGAATTATTTATGTGACTAAAGGAAGTTGTCAACTTTTGCAGGGATTTAATTTATACAAGGAAAACTTTGCATGGCACTGAGAAAGCATCTCTGCTTTAGTTGAACACATCACTCTAGAATGTTCTTTCCATCATCCAGTGGATGGTGTTTCTGTTCAAAAGTCACATTCCTTTCATACTTAAGAGATTGAGTGAACACCAGAAACTGGGGCCTTTGGTATTTTATAGGTCAAAGAAGGACACTTGGGAAAAATGACAACTTTGCACTTCTCATTTTCTAGTTTGGTGACCTTGATCCCAGCAGTGCTGAATTCTTCCTGCAAGAAGAAAGACTGACACAGATGAGAAATGAATATGAGCAGCAGTGCCGGGTGAGTGACTGAAGAGAATTTAACTTAGTAAGTGGAGGAGTGCCTAGATTCAGATCCTGCTTCACCATTTACTAGCCAAGTGACTGGTAAACGTAACCTGTGGGTATCTCAATTCCTCATTTTCAAGGTGACAAAAATAAATGAACCCACAAAATACGGTTGTTGTGGAGAGTCAGGAAGTACACGTGAAGTGCTTAGAACAGAGCCTGAGACACAGAGAACACTTAACCGAAGTGCTTGCTATTAATGTTATTATTTAGTATCCTGACATATGAGAGAGTCGTGCAAACTGCAGCTGTTTGTTTTCTCTGGGTCAGAAATTGCCAGTAATTAGAGGAAAATAAGGTTTTATTCTAAGAGAAGGAAACTGTGGTCATGTTGATACGCTTATTCCAAAACCAGCCTTTCCTGAGTGCAGGCCTACTCTGATATAATTTGCTTTTGTTCTGTGGGGATTTTTCCTGAGTACATTCCTTCCTTTATTTACAAAATACCAATAGAGCAGAAACCACTCAGGTCTTTAAGTAGTAAGTCATCACTACTAGAGGACACAAAAACATCCTAATAAATAAGAATCTTTGATTTTTTTAGAAAAGTAACTCTTCTAAACTCAGGAATCTGAGTTGTTGTTTTTTTTAAAACCACAAACTCTTGTGTATTTTAACATGGTGAACATAACTGAGTTCAGCCTGCTTTAGATGAACATAGGACTTGGGCAAAAATGAAGAAAACAATCACCTCCTTATGAGGTTGTTCATAGTCTGCCTTCTCAGGAAATAAACACACAGATTTTGAGATAAGAGATGAAATATTTGTCACTCTTACAAATACAAATTTTGTAAATACAAATACAAATTTTGGCTCTTCTCTCTAATCTCCTGTGCTTTCAGTTATTTCATCAGTAAAATCTGTCAGCTCCACCTCCAAAAATTCCCCAAATTCATCCACTTATTTATTTTTTAATAGCTTTTCATAACCATACAATTCATCCACTTAAGGTATACAATTCAGTCTCTTTTACTATATTCACAGAATTGTACAACCATTACCATAATAAATTTTAGAACATTTTCATCACCTGCAAAGAAACTCCCAGTCCACCTAGCTGTAATCTCTCCTATGACCTCCAGCCCTAGGCAACTAATAATCTATTTGCTGTCTGTTTGGTTTTGCCTATTTTTTACATTTCCTATAAATGGATTTATATAATATATTGACCTTTGTGACTGGCTTCCTTCATTTAGCATATTGTTTTTGAGCTCTATCCATGTAGTAGCATGTATCAGTACTTTATTTCTATTGCTGCATAATATTCCATAACATAGCCATACCACATTTTATTATCCATCCCTTAGTTGATAGACATTGAGTTATCTCAAATATTGTGAATAATGGGCTGCTGTGAATAATTTGTGTGTGAGCTTTTGTGTGGACATATGCTTTCATTTCTCTTGGGTATGTACTGGGTAGTGGAATTGAATCATATGATGACTGTATGCTTAACCTTTGAAGAACTGCCAAATTTTTTGCAAAATATTTGCACCATTTTACATTCCCACCAGTATGAGAGTTCCAGTTTCTTTCCATCCTTGCCAACAGTTGTTACTGTATGTCCTTTTTATTTCAGCCATCCTAGTGGATATGAAGTGGAATCTCATTGTGGCTTTGATTTGCATTTCCCTGATGGCTAATAACATTGAGTATCTTTTCATGTGCTTGTCAATATATCTTCTTTGGAGAAATGTCTCTTCAAATCCTTTGCTGAACATTTAAATGTGTTATTTGTCTTTTTATTATTGAATTGTAATAGTTCTTTATATATTCTGTATACAAGTCCCTTATCAGATATATAAGGTGGAAAAACTTTTTTTCCATGCTGTGGGTTGTCTTTTTACTTTCTTGTTGGTATCCTTTGAAGCACAGAAGTTTTTAATTTTGATGAAATACAGTGTATCTGTTTTTTCTTCCGTTGCTTGTTTTTGACATCACATCTAAGATTTATATTGGTTTTCAAACTCCAGCTATTACAAGACCAAGTAGACGAACTCCAGTCTGAACTGCAAGAATATCGTACACAAGGCAAAGTATTCAGGCTTCCCTTGAAGAACTCACTGTCAGAAGAGCTTGATGTTAACAGTGGTTGCATCGAGCCTGACCAGGGTAAGTCATTCAGACACCATCTTTTCAGAGTCTGTGCCTTTGACTTTTGATTTTAAAACCATGGTTGAATGTAAAATTGCAAAATGTTGGCAACCCTGCCTTTTCCACCCCCACAGCACTACACCACCCCCCACCCCACAAAAAAAGATTTTGGCAGTGCTATTTTCTTGAGCTGTTTCACTTGTGGTATGTTTTTTTCATTTGTCCTTGAAGTCTTTATGAGAATATTTCCATCTGATTTTGATACACATCAACAAATAAATGGAAAAATCAAACCACAGGGACATTAAAAAAAAAAACTGGCCATGAGTCTGCGAATCCAGGCCTTGGGAGTGTTAGAATTCAGTCACTGAGTTATTGCTGAATCCTCCCTTTCTAAAACAGTGCCTAACTGGTATGACAATGTTTTGAAGAGTGAGCCAGCCAGAAACCCCAGAATTTGATTTCCTTACGCTGGTTGTGCTAAATGCCTGCAAAACAACAAATAAGATAAATAAATGTTGGTGCCTGTGCCTTGGGGAAGATTTTGAGTAATACAGCTGGAAAGCAGAGCTGTTTGGGAACCCTGGTATGTTCATTATCAGCTCTTTTCCTCTCTCCTCATATCCTGCCTCTTTCTTCTAGTGTGTTGAATATGAATTTCAGAAAGGGTTTATAATGAATTCTTCATTGTAAATAGTTTTCCCCAGTGCTACTTGGAACAGGAGTACAGGTTCTCACAATGATTGTTTATTCTTCTCCTTACCTATTTATTCTACAGTAAATAAGGGAGTGAGGAGGGGACAGGAAGAGGCTTGAATACTTTTCCTCTAAGTCTGTACTCTGTAGCCATACTGTGGTAAAAGGATGGAGCCCAACTGATATGATATATCTCAGAAGTTTTTCTGGGCTTTTCCGTAGATGAGCAAGGGCTGGGAGTTCTAATCATGGGTACACAAGGCTGTGCCATCTTGGGATGGTTTACACCCCAGATATCACTTCTCAGATGGGGAATGCCATCACAGATATAGAGAAAGCCCAAAGATTGTCAATTCCAGATGTTAGACTTACACTATTTCTTGCATCTGCCTGTGTCCCTCCTCATGAAAACTTTTTTTGAGTCCCCTGCCTTAATTTTAGTCCCCTGCCTTAGTATTAGATGTAATCATTTCATCTGTGTACTAGCTCAGCCCTCAGCGTATGCTTCACATTTCAATGTTTGTCTCAGTCACCATTGTGGGCAGTTGCAGAGGTGAACTCCTATGGAATGAGTTGATAGTTTTCTACCGAATCTGCCTATATCCACGTTCCTAACCTATGCTCTATTCTTTTAAATAACTTTAGCTGATAATTTAAGATGAGGCCCCACCTGCACTACAGGAAATTAGCGTTATAGTGCTCAATCTTCTGTAATGTTGAGTGGTGGGTTGGATATCTTGATCCATGAAGTTAACACCTCAAAGCATAGCAAGTATGCTGGCCATTCATCCTCCTGCCACATTCCCTTCTGCTGATTTGGCACTCAGTATTTGTTGGATGGAAAGAAGGCTGGTTGGTTTGATCATACTGCCTCACTCTGCAGCATTTTCATTAGCAGGAGGTCACTTTTAAGAAATAGTTTCCCCATCTGCTCCCACCTCCTGTCCTATTGACTTCTAGTAAGGTTTGATACGCTGCCTGTACATAGAAAATCTGTTGTCTTTGTTTTTTCTCATTTTCCCTTATGCTTGAAAACAAGAGACCACTCTTGGATTCTGCTGTTTCCTAATAGATATCATCTATTGCAATTTAGGATTCTATAATTAATACCAGTTGTGTTATTGAAAGAACCTGCAGCTGGGTCAACAGATCCCATGTGTTTTCAGGGCTCGGTTCTGAAGAATGCAATCCACTGAATATGAGCATCGAGGCAGAGCTGGTCATCGAGCAGATGAAAGAACAACATCACAGGGACTTGTGTCACCTAAGACTGGAGCTTGAAGATAAAGTAAGACTTTCTTCTCAATCCTGTTCTCTGATTTCTTTGAGCTCTGACAAGCTTTTGCATATACAACACTCTCCATTCTTTTTTCTCCCAGAGCAGCACTTTCTGTACATTTCCTCATGCGTCTGGGTGGCTACCAGGAGCACACTTCCTCAGGATGCTTTCACAGGCCAAGGGGCCTTTGAGGGCTCTTCCTTGTAGGAGAGAGATTCTTAAAAATGGAATATCTTCAGTCCCAGCCAGCATGGAGCTTGAAGGGCATTACATTATTTCCAACTCATTAAAAAAAAACTTTAAAAAGTCCGTTGATATAGCATTACCTCCTAAATTAGGTAGAAGTTCTGAATCTTGGTTTTCAAAACCATTTACCATGTTGCTTTAGGTTATATTTCCAGTCTTCTCTCTTATGATTCCTTTGAGTTACTTCATCTTCCAGCCAAACCAGGTAGTTTGCTGCTCTTCATCTTGTTTTGTCCTCTTTTTCTCATGCTATTACATGCTATGTTATTATTTCTTTCTACCTCTTGAAAGTCTACTTAACCTTCAGAGTTTACATTAAATGCTGCCTCTTATATTCCTGAATTCTCCCAACCGAACATGATTTTCACCTCCTTGGAGTCCCCTGGTTACATTGTAGGTATTTTTCCTATACATGTTTTTTTGTGTTTTATTCTGACTGGTAGTACACTTTCTTTATATTTGTCATAACAATGTCTAGAGAGGGAGCAATGTCTTATCCAACTTGTGTTCCCATGAGGCCTGACAGGTGTTAAATAAATACTTGAATATAATTATCTATGTTAAGACTTTCAGTTTGCGGTTGGAAAGGATGCCTGTGAAGAAATACAGTGTCTATGTGAAGGCCTAGTTCGTTTTAACAGAGGTGTTTAGAAACTAATAACATTCAACCAATTTACAAAGGAAATCAAACCATGCCTAACTAAAAAATATTTAATGTGTTTTGGATTGTTACTTTAAAACAAAAATAGGAAAACTGAGAAATGTCTTGTAAGAAAAAAGTCTTTACTGCCCCATCGCCTTATCATGGCCTTGAGTTGAATAACACTGTGGTGGTTTCACTTTCTGGCTTTAGGTGAACTATTATGAAAAGCAGCTAGATGAAACCAAAGTTGCCTTTGAAAAGGAGCAGGAGAACATGAAGCTCAAGTGTGAGAATGAAGTACACATCTTAGAAGAACAAATAAGTGACCTTAAAAATAAAATTGCAGAACTCCAGGGCCAGACAGAAGTACTCAAGGAGGCACAACACATGGCTGTCTGCAGACATGAGGAGGAGAAAAAACAGCTGCAGATGAAGTGGGCCGAGGAAAAGACTCACGTGCAGGAGGAGCTGCGGCTGGAGCATGAGATGGCCCTCAGGGCTAGGCTGCAGCAAGTGGAGGAAGGCTTTAACAGAGAGAGGGAGAAACTTGTTCAAAATGGCGCCTGGACAGAGGAGAAGGTGAGGGGCTTGACTCAGAAACTAGAACAAGCTCACCAGGAGCAGCTGAAAAGCCTGGTGGAGAAACACATTCTTGAGAAAGAGGAATTGCAAAAAGAGCTCTTGGAAAAACACCAAAGGGAACTGCATGAGGGAAGGTAAGAAAGTGGGGAAAGTAGAGGAGGGGACACCAGTCCTCAGGGGCACTGCGAGTCCCAGTCAGTAAAGGAGACTTTGAAAAATCAGAAGGTGTAAGAGCCCACTTACTGACTAGAATTCTTTTTTTAGTTTTTCAACTTGTTTTGTCCTTGTTTAGATATAAACCTACCTTGGGATTATTGAAACTTTTTTTTTTAAGAGGAAGGTTTTTTTTTTTTTAATCAGACTTGTACTTTTTAAGGTACCAGATGAGGATATGATTATCACAAATGTGATTTCTTTTTTGTTTAGTCCTGTTGTTTTCTTAGAAAGTCCTTTTATAAGTTATTAGATTCTGGACAAAGTTACATTTCCTCCCAGGATTATGAAACACTGCTTTGTGTTTACTTTCCTCATGTGAAACCTCAGGTGCTTTTGAGGCCTTTGGTGCTTCATACTTTAACTTGGTGCTACTTCATTAAATAGAAAGCAAAACATATATGTACAGTTTATATAACTACATATAGACAGACAGAGAGTCACTCAGTCTTGTCTGACTCTTTGTGACCCCACAGACTGTAGCCTGTCAGGCTCCTCTATCCATGGAATTCTCCAGGCAAGAATACTGGAGTGGGTTACCATTTCCTTCTCCCAGGGATCTTCCTAACCCAGGGATCAAACCTGGATCTCCTACATTGCAGTCAGATTTCTTTACCATCTGAGGCACCAGGGTATACATAATTAAAATGAAAGAATTTTATGTATTTCCCATTTAGGGTTTAGGGTAATATGTATTTGAACATTTCATGAGAAAGCACTGTAAATTTTTGGCTAAAACTCCATAAATATCTGGGAGTTTATGCCAGAGAATTTGGTTTCTAAATCTTCTTTTTAAATGCAGAGAGAGGTAAGTCTTTTAAATTAATTCTGGCTGCCAGTGTTGGCGCTCAGAAATGAGATCCCTTCTGAGTATAGAAATAAGTGAAGACCATTTTTTAGAAAATATTTAAATTGTTTGCTTGGCTGCTTCTATGCATGGGAAAATGTTTTTTGTTTGCTTCTAGAGTTGATGACAGTTTCAGTAATGCTGTATGTTGACCACATTTAGGGAAAAAATGGAAACTGAGTGTAATAGAAGAACCTCTCAGATAGAAGCCCAGTTTCAGGCTGACTGTCAGAAAGTCACTGAGAGATATGAACACGCCCTGCGGAGTCTGGAGGCGCACTACCGCCAACAGCTGAAGGAGCTCCTGGACCAGCAATGTGAGGAGAGGTCCCAGTGGGAGTTCGAGAAGGACGAGCTCACCCAGGAGTGTGCGGAAGCCCAGGAGCAGCTCAGAGAGACTCTGCAGAGGGAGAAAGCAACCTCTTTGGTCCTCACCCAGGAGAGAGAGATGCTGGAGAAAACATACAAGGAGCATTTGAATAATATGGTTGTTGAGAGAGAGCAGCTGCTACAGGACCTGGAAGATCTGAGAAACGTGTCTGCAAGTCAGCAAAGTCTCCTGTCCAACCAGATACTTGAGCTGAAGAGCAGTCACGGAAGAGAGCTGAAGGACCGTGAGCAGGTCCCGGGCCAGGCAGGCACCTCAGAGCAGCTGGCCAGCCAGAGGCTTGAACGGCTGCAAAGGGAACATGACCAGGAGACGCAGGAAATGATGTCCAAGCTTCTGGTCCTGGAGAGTGTCCACAGAGCAACCTGTGAGAAAGCAGATCGAGAGAGGGCTGAGATGAGCACAGAAATCTCCAGGCTCCAGAATAAAATCAAGGAGATGGAGCAGGTAGTGTCTCCTCCCTCCAGGCTTCAGAATAGCTGTCAGGTGATAGGAGGGGAGGAGGCAGAAGAAAATGGCGCCATGTCCCTGCTTCAGCAAGGAGAACAGCTGTTGGAAGAGAATGGAGATGTTCTCTTAAGCCTGCAAAGAGCCCATGAACGAGCCGTGAAGGAAAACGTGAAAATGGCAGCTGAAATTTCTAGGTTGCAGCAGAGGCTGCAAAAATTAGAACCAGAGTCAATAATGTCCTCTTCTTTCGATGAACCAGCTACTGGGCTCTTTGGAAACTCAGTGGAACAAACAGAGCCATTTTTACAGCCAAACCGAATCAAACAAGCAGAAGGCGGAACGACGCAGCGTATTCTCAATGACCTACAAGGCGACGAGGTCCGTGACCTCGAAAGTACAGGGGCGAGCTCTGGTCAGAGACAGGTCAGAGTAGAGGAGTCTGAAGCATCACTAGAGAGTTTTTCCGAGCTCGGAAATAGTGAGGAGACCAGAACTGAAACCTGGGACCTGAAGAACCAGGTCGGCCAGCTTCGGGAACAGTTAATGATCTTACGTGCAGACTGCGATCGAGCGTCTGAAAAGAAGCAGGACCTACTGTTTGATGTTTCTGTGCTAAAAAAAAAACTGAAGATGCTTGAAAGAATTCCTGAAGCTTCCTCCAAGTATAAACTGTTATACGAAGATGCCAGTAGAGAAAATGAATGTCTTCAGGAAGAGCTGAGGATGATGGAGACACGCTACGACGAAGCACTGGAAAGTAACAAAGAGCTCACTTCAGAAATGTTCAGATTACAGGATGAGCTAAAGAAGGTTGAAGAAATGACTGACACATTCCTTAGCCTGGAAAAGAGTTACAATGAGACCAAAAGAGAAAACAAGGAACTGAATGTTCTGGTTTTGAGACTTCAAGGCAAGATTGAGAAGCTCCGAGAAAGAGCAGCACTGCAGTGTGACTGCTTCTCCTTATGGGAAGCCCATTTGGATAACCTGGAAGTCGGACCTGATGAAAAGGTCTTTGAACGAAACCAAACACTGGATGAGCATGTACCAAATGTTATGAGTGTGCACCATGTTATAGAAGAACATTTGTATCAAGAAAACCAGTACCTAGAACAGGAGAATACACAGCTCTTAGAGAAAGTAAAAGCACATGAAATTGCCTGGCTACATGGAACACTCCAGACACATCGAGACAAGCCTGGAGCACAGAACCGAGTTATACTGGAGGAAAACACTGCTCTCCTCGGCCTTCAAGACAAGCATTTTCAGCACCAGGCCACCATCGCAGAGTTAGAACGGGAGAAAAAAAAGCTGCAGGAGCTGACTAGAAAGTTGAGGGAAAGAGTCACTGCTTTAGTCAAGCAAAAAGATGTACCTTCTCAAGGAGAAAAGGAGGAAGAGCTGAAGGCAATGATGCATGACCTGCAAATCACATGCAGTGAGATGCAACAGAAAGTTGAGCTTCTGAGGTAATGTATGTACCTTCTACACTTCACGGAGCCTCACAGAGCACCTCACCAGATCTAACTTCTGCTGCTTGCTGTGCCTAGAGAAACTAACCTGTTAGTCTTCAAAAAGAGAGCAGTACTTTAGACTCCCTTCTGCTTCTGTGTTATATTAACAAGTAGAATAACCCAGCCTAGGAGGCACTCCTTCCTCTATAGGAAATAAATGTTGTTCATTTGGGGGTGAAAGTTTATAATGGAGAGTGTTCGCTGTTTAACCATGTGCGTCATCATTGTATGTCATCTTTAACTCTTTTCTAGCACTTCATTCGGATGGACAGACTTTTTTCCTTTGGCTAAATGTTATTTTCTCATTTTGATGAAACAAGTTATATGAGAATGAATGCCTTTTGTGTATTATTAACTCACTTGGTAGACAAGAACTCTCTTCTTATACTAATATGGGGAAAAATGTGTTTCATGGCTTATGGTTTGTCACTTACATCACTTAAAATGCATGCTGATATTCTATAGATATTGGAAATTCACCTTAGAACATACAATTTTTTGAGGAGCTGTCAGATTTTAATGTGCTGAAAGAACAGAGACAAATATACTAATTTGAACTACTGCTCACTTGACTTTATAAAATATGATAGCAATAGTCTTCTAACAAATTTGGTTCAAAAAAATTGTAGAATTTACATCATGTCTGAAATATCTTAATGATATGGGAAAAAAACAAAATAATTCTAGGTTTAGTCTTTCCTCTTTTTATTTTAGACCGTTCTTAGTTCCAAAAATCATAATGAGATGAAAGAAATTAGAAGGTAACCATTAGTGTACATATTTTGATATGTCCCTTTCATTTATGTAGTGAATTTTCTTTCTCTAGGTACCTTGGGGTTTAAAACTAAAGCTCATACAGCTTTGTGATACAGCTTTTGTCTTTGAGGAGCAGGCAGGACTTGAGACTGAAATACAGAGTTACTTGCCCAAAGCAGTATGAGAAAGTCAGCAAGTAGGATGGGTACTGAGTCTCTTTTCTGTCTCAGTAATTAAGTGTTTTAGTCACACTTCCCTAATGTCTTTTAGTAAAATTCTTACTTCCCAAAAGAAATGAGTCAGTCTGTCATAGCTTGATTTCCAAGCACGAAGAGACTACTAATTTAGGCTTTTCTTTTTAACTGGTATGGAATATGGGTTTAATTGGAAGTTACTAGAAAGTGTTTTCCAAAGATGCCAGATGATGGCCTTTTTATAACTATTTTTTAAAAATCTCTGTACTGCAGATATGAATCTGAGAAGCTTCAAGAGGAAAATTCTATTTTGAGAAATGAAATTACTACTTTAAATGAAGAAGACAGCATTTCTAACCTGAAATTAGGGAAATTAAGTGGATCTCAGGAAGAAATGTGGTAAGATGTATACTTAAATATCCTAAAGGCATTTTTGCAAGGACTAAAACTGTTGTACTTCAGTGTTTAAAGCCTAACTCTTAAGTTATATTTTCATTGTCCCTTTAGGCAAAAAATAGAAACTGTACAACAGGAAAAAGCTGCAGTTCAGAAAATGGTTGAAAATTTAAAGAAACAGGTAAGAGGTATTTCTCAATGTTTCCTGATTCTAAAATTTTCTTTTCTTTAACAATAATGGTAAGGTTGTAATTCTGAGTTTCAAAATGGAAACTTACCTCATGCTAATTCTAAATTCAGTTTCTATTTTTTGAAAATATATTTATTATTTTCAAAATGTGTATGCATTATTTCTAGACTCTGGGTGTTTAATACAAGCTGTATAATCAGTGGAAATGGGGAGATGATAATCTCTAAACCAAACTTATGAAAAACTAGCTCTATCCCTTATGTGTTTGGTCCATTCTCTTTTTTTAATTGGTGGGAAATCGCTTTACAATTTTGTGTTGGTTTTTGACATACAGCAACATGACATAAAAAGGAGCAAATCTGAGTCAGTTGTAGCGAGGTGGATGAACCTAGAGCCTCTTATACAGAGTGAAGTCAGAAAGAGAAAGACAAATGTTGTGCATTAACACATATATATGCAATCTAGAAAAATGGTACTGATGAACTTAGTAGAGAATGGACTTGTAGACACAGCAGGAGAAGGTGAGGGTGTGATGAACTGAGAAAATAGCATTGATATATATACACTATTATGTGTAAAACAGATAGTGGGAAGTTGATAAATAACAGGGAACCCTCCTGCTATCCCATATCTCTAGGTCATCACAGAGTACAAAGCTGGATCCCTGTTATTTAGCAACTTCCCACTAACTATCTGTTTTACACATAATAGTGTATATATGTCAATGCTATTTTCTCAGTTCATCACACCCTCACCTTCTCCTGCTGTATCTACAAGTCCATTCTCTACTAAGTTCATCAGTACCATTTTTCTAGATTCCATATATATGTGTTAATGCACAACATTTGTCTTTTTCTTTCTGACTTCACTCTGTATAAGAGGCTCTAGGTTCATCCACCTCACTACAACTGACTCAGATTTGCTCCTTTTTATGTCAGAGTTATATTCCATTGTGTAAATGTCACAGCTTCTTTATCCATTCATCTGTCAGTGGACATCCAGGTTGCTTCCATGGCTATTGTAAAGTGCTGCAGTGAACATTGGGATACATGTGTCTTTGAGAATGGTGGTTTTCTCAGGGTATATGCCCAATAGTGGGATTGCTAGGTCATATGGTAGATTTAGTCTTTTAAGCAATCTCCATACTGTGTTCCATAATGGCTGTATCAGTTTATATTCCCACCAACAGTACATAAGGGTTCCCCTTCCTCTACATCCTCTCCAGAATTTATTGTTTGTATATTTTTTGATGATGACCATTCTGACTGGTGTGAGGTGATAACTCATTGTAGTTTTGATTTGCATTTGTAATAATGAGTGATGTTGAGCATCTTTTCATGTGTTTATTAGCCATCTGTGTGTCTTCTTTGGAGAAATGTCTGTTTAGGGCTTTTGCCCATTTTTTTTATTGGGCTTTCTGATTTTTTTTAATTTATTTTTCTGATATTAAGCTATGTGAGTTGCTTATATATTTTGGAGATTAACCCTTTGTCAGTTGCTTCATTTGCAATTATTTTCTCCCATTCTGAGGGTTGTCTTTTCATCTTGTTTATAGTTTCCTTTGCCATGCAAAGGCTTTTAAGTTTTATTAGGTCCCATTTATTTACTTTTGTTTTTATTTCCATTAATCTAGGAGGTGAGTCAGAGAGAATTTTGCTGTGATTTATGTCAAAGAATGTACTGCCTATGTTTTCCTCTCAGAGTTTTATAGTTTCTGGCCTTACATTTAAGTCTAATCCATTTTGAGTGTACTTTTGTATATGGTGTTAGGAAGTGTTCTATTTCATTCTTTTACATGTAGCTGTCCAATTTTCCCAGCACCACTTATTGAAGAGGCTGTCTTCTCTCCATTGTATATTCTTGACTCCTTTTTCAAAGATAAGATGCCCATAGGTGCATGGGTTTATTTCTGGGCTTTCTATCTTGTTCCATTGGTCTATATATCTGTTTTTGTGCCAGTATTATACTGTCTCAATGACTGCAGCTCCTCATGTGGTTCTCATTTAGGTTAGCCCCTTCCTCTTTCTTCAGCATGATTAAAAGCAGTAGGTTAAGAATAGAATTTTACAGATATAGAATACTAGTTAGTCCATGTGTATTTTCACAGAATTATGATTTAATTTAGATAGTGTGTGCCATTCAATGCCCAATTTGTATAGTCTCAACAATGTGCAATTGTGTGAAGAAAGGCCATTTGAGAATCAGTCTGAAACAGTCAAAAGACAAGGACATCCTGGGAAAAGAGTATTTTTAGCATTTGAAATAGACAAGGTGTTAACATCCAAAATATATTTTGTACTCTTACAAATTGCAAAACCCAATTGCAAATGGATAATTGATATGAATGGTCAAGTCAGAAAACAGAGCACATATAGAAAGAAAGTTAGCCTCATTATTCATTAGGGAAGGGCATATTAAATGTTTCCTTTTTTTGCATATCAGATCAGTAAAAATTAAAGATTGATCTCGTCTAGTATTAAAAGGGAGTGAGGAAATGAATATACTTATACATTGTTGATAGCACTATAAGTTGGTAGTGCTATGAAGAACACATTTTGGGGATGTCAATCATAACAATAATATATGTGCATACCTTCTAACCCAGTAGCCCCACTTCCAAAAATGAGATGCTGAATACAAAATGCCACTGTGTATAAATGAATTTTCCAAAAGATTGTTTTTTCATCAGTATGAGAATGGATAAATGCAGTATGGAATGTCTTGCGACATGGAATACCTCACAGGCACATAAAAATATAGCATATGGCAGTTTCTGAATGCACTGATTTGGAAAGATAAGAGTCTATAAGATATTATAAGTGGAGAAAGCAGAGTATCCAAACATCTGAAATTATGCAAATTTTCAATCTAAAGAAGAAAAACACTGTATGTATATGTGTCTGTGAAAGTGAAAGTCACTCAGTCATGTCCGACTCTTTGCAACCCCGTGGACTGTACAGTTCATGGAATTCTCCAGGCCAGAATATTGAAGTGGGTAGCCTTTCCCCTCTCCAGGGGATCTTCCCAACCCAGGGATCGAACCCAGGTCTCCTGCATTGCAGGCAGATTCTTGACCAACTCAGCTATCAGAGAAGCCCTCATATGGGTTTGTATATGCATTGAAAACAATCTGGAGGGGGATGCATCCAGCTGTAAACAGTGGCTATTCCTGTTGAGTGGGATTGGACAAGAGTGTCTAATTGACTTTGTAATAATGAGTATGTATTGTTTCTGCTATTAAATGTGTATGTGTGTGTGTATATATATATATAAACTTTATCTACATAGGGTAAAACAACTAATCTCTAAATAAGCTTTTTTAGCAGAAGTAGGATAACAAATTTTAAACACTTGTTTCAATTTTAATTAGATTTCAGAATTAAAAACCAAAAACCAACAGTTGGATTTGGAAAATATGGAGCTTAGCCAAAAGAATTCTCAGAATCAGAAAGAGCTGCAAGAACTTAATCAATGTCTGGCAGAAATGCTAAGCCAGAAGGACAAAGAGCCAGGACACAGTGCATGTGAGGAATGGGAACAAGAAAAGTCTAATCTCAAAGAAGAACTGGAACACTGTAAATTGCAGGTATGGTCTACAGCTACTCTTTAGCCTTTCTGGAGGAAATCCCAATTAAAAAAAGAAATGCTTATATTTAATTTCTTATACATTTAAGTTCTAATAATTAAAACAGTATAGTGTTGGCACATGAGTAGAGAGATGAATAGAAAGTCTAGAACTAGACCCAGGTACAAATGAAAACTTAGTATATGACAAAGATGGCTTTTCGAATCACTGGGGTACAGGTGGACTTTTTAATAAGTGGTGCCCAGACAACTCAGTAGACATTCAGAATTAAAGTCAAAAGACAGCTCATAAACTGGGGGAAAAAATATTTGCATCCCATACCACAAAGAGTGGGGCTAATATTCCTACTATGTAAAGAACTCTTAAAAACCAAAGAACTTAGGATCAAAATCTGATAGCAAAATGGGAAAAATGCATGAACAAAACAGTCACACACAAAGAAAAAGAGATAAAAATGGCTCTCAAACCTATGAAAAAATATTCAAAGTTACTCAGAGAAATGCAAATAAAGCAACACTGATATCTCATTTCTCACCTATGAGATTGGCAACAATTTAAAAATATAACAACATATTCTATTGGCAAAAGTTTGGAAAAACAGGCACTTTCATACATTGCTGGTGGGATATAAACTAGTACTATATTTCTGGAAGAAAATTTGACAATATCTAACAAAATTATATATGTACTTACTTTTATGCTAGCACTCTTACTTCTAGGAATTTACCCTAAAGATATTTCTCCAAAAATATGAAAATTCACATGCACAGGGTTGGTTATTCATTGCAGCATTGTTTGTAACTGCAGAATATTGGAAACAGCCTAGATGTCCACACATAGAGTTGTTGGATAAATGTGATGGAGTCACACCATGGAGTAGTATTATACAGGTTTTAAAAAAAGAAAAAGAATGAATGCGAAAGATCTCTTGGTATGAAATTATTTCCAGGACATACTGGAAATAGGTGAAAAAGGAAAAGCTGAAAAGCATATCTAAGCGTCTCTCTAGTATGTCTCCAACCATGTAAGAAAGAAGGGGATATTAGACAATACACATGTATTTGTGTAAAAGAAATACAGAATTTTTGGAAAAGAAATACAGGAATGATAAACCAGGTAACTAAAGAGATGCTTCCGTATAGGGGGCAAATGGGAAAGGAATGCAAGAGAGGAATGGGAATGTGATCGCAGGGATGAGGAAGGCAGTGACACTTCTGAGAACCTTTTCATATAGTCTGATGCTTAGAACCATAGTCATGTTTCACATACTCTTCACATATCCCCTCAAATAAACAAGCAAAACCAATCCAGAAAAGAAAGATCAGGGGAGGGGGGAACTAAATGGAACACAAACACTAACAAATGAACCTAACAGTATTATGAGTGGATAACATAACCATGATGTGGAAGAAAAGAAGTAATTTAGAAATTAGTATTTTGACTGTACATGGTAAGGTTAAGACAAAAGGAAGTGAACATAAATGCTACAGTAGTCACTAAATGTGTTTCTCATGTGGGTGTATGTTAGTGATTCTGGAACTACTCTCTGTATACCAGAATTGAAGAAATAGATAAATATATTGTAGATAGTAAGAACTGAGTTTCTCATTTTGGGACAAGGAGGTTGGAAGTGGGGAAACTAGGAAGGCTAAAATGAACCTTCTGATGTTGGATTGGAATTTGAGTTAATAGAACAAACTCATTATTTGTTTAGTATATAGGCAGATACAGAAATGTAGATGTGTGTATATGAATGGAGCACCCAAATATTGGTTTCTGAACACTGTCCTCCTATGTGAGAAACCCGGGCTTCTTGGAGAGATGATTGATCTTAAGGCTGGTGAAGGGTCAATTCAAGATAAGCCTGGAACATCTCATGGTGCCAGAAAGAAAAAGGTGCCCCGAAAAAAAATGGGGCATGTCAAAAGGACAGGACACAACCTGAAGAAGCTCCTAATGGCCAAAGCTGAAATAATTTGATCAACAAAATAAAGCATAGCACAAAATAAGCATAATTATAAAATACAGAATAAAATGAATATCTTATATTCATTTATTCATTCATATGTTATAATGGAATAGGTTAATAAAGGGGAGAGAAATAACATCATCCTTACAATAGAATTCCAATTAATAAATGTAGAAGGAAGGAAGGAAATAGCAAGTCTTCATTAGGCAAATACCAAAGTAGTAATTGTTGTCGATAAAATCCACTGATAGACACTAAAATTAATAAGCAAATGCTTAAGGAAAAACAGTTTGCATCGTCTCAAAGCATCTGCCCGCAGAGAAAGATAGTAACTTTCCAGTGGAGATCTTCAAATGCAAACTAAAGAAATCATGTTTATACCATTTTAGTGGAAAGTTTTTTAAAAGATAGTTTTGGTTAGTTCCATTGAGTATAAGGACAAATTATCTTAAAACAGTATGTCATTGAGTATGTACTAATTTTTCCTTAATGCTGCCTTTTATGACCTTATTAAGTTTCCCTGGGCTAAATGAATATGTTATTTTGACTTTTTAATTTTTTTCTTAGTCTTCCTCTTTAGTGTCTTCTTTGGAGGCAGAACTTTCTGAAGTTAAACTACAGACTCACATTGTGGAACAGGAAAACCTCCTTCTTAAAGATGAATTGGAGAAAATTAAACAAGTAAGACTATATGCAGCTTACATGGGGGCAAGGAGATATGTGTGGGAGTCATAGAATAACATGTACCAGATTGTCTTTTTTTTTGGCATTGAGAGTCTCTTTTACTGAATCCTGTTAGCTAGCTTCTTGCTTAGTGACGTTCAGGGCTTGCAATACAAGTCTAATTTATAAGAGCTCCTATCACTAATTCTCCAAATGTTGTTCTAGTTATATAACTTATGTGTGTTGTAGGCTGACATTCTATTAATATTACTATAAATGAATCTCAGCCACTTCAGTTTAAGAAATGTGTTGCTCTACCTTCGCCCAGCCAGGTGTTAAGGTAATATAAATTTGCCTAAAACACTGGTGACTTTCTTGCTAATAACTTTAATAACTATTCACTCAGATTTGTGAGACCCAGGCTCTCCCTTTTTCTCATAGTGAGTTTGAGGCATTTATCTTGGGCAGAAGAATAGATTCTAGAGCACTATGAGGGATGTGGTCTCACCTATGAATTTGGCTTTAAAAAACATATTTCAAAGTTTCAAGCAAAAACCTAATTTTAAGTATAATTTTAAGTCCACCTTAAAATTTATTTGCTGAACACTGTCCAATTTATTCTTTATTCTGAACTTTTCAGTGAGTACATGAATTTCTCAGTTTATGCAATCTTGATATATAATAGGAGAATTTAGTTTTTCCATTTTATTTGTTTCACCAAAGGATTACCTTAATACCATGATATCTTTAGATTATAAAATTCTCTTGTATCTATCCAACCTATGAGCATAAAGGTGTCCTTCTCTGAATGCTGAAATAGAGTCTGTACCACTGGGCATGTTATGTTTGCATTGATCCCTAGTTGACACCCATAAGTCTTGATTTCCTAATAAGATTGTAGACTCGGAATGCGTGTCTCTTCCAGTGCCTAATAGAGTGCAGGTACCTAATAGGTGCGTTATAAGAACCTTTTCCAGTCAGATGTTGCTGTGGAAGGTATAGCTGTCCTGCCATGGCAGAGGCTTGTGGTCCATATAAACACTCCAGTTAAAAGGCCCTTCTGTGTTATATAAGTATTCCAGGACTGTTATTACCAAATTTATCCTAATTAACTTGGGCATACTTTTCTCCTTTTTCTTTTTCTGTTGTTCAGCCTTTCAGATGATAATGATGGATCCCATGTCCGAGCATGGGAAATGTATGTGCTGTGATTTTGCCAAGCTAGGGATCAAAAGAAAAGGAGCAGAGCTGAGAGTAAAGCAGCAGGATCAGGACCTCATTTGGGCACATTTTTCTTGCATGTGAGCCCTTTTGCTTTTGGTAGGAAGTTGTTCATGATCCCTGGACTCTTGGATCACAGGAGTAGGATGGTGTCAGCCCATTGTTGCTGCCATACAGAAAGCACATGCTGCTCTGTATGACATCATAATTTCTTGTTCACAAAACAGTTTTGTTTGTATTATCTATTGCACTGAAAAGAAACATGAATAGTATCAGCAGTAGTCACATGACAGTCTGTAGACATCCAAAATGGTACCAGGCTTTGTGAGGGTCTGGGGATAGGGAGGCAAGATAGTGAGTAAAGGAGGAAAGTCCTTTATTAACCAATGCCCAGGTACATAGATTTTCCTTCATCTTTCTGACTTGTTTAGATTTGTAAATTATGTTGAATTTGTTGCCAGTTGAAGACAAGAGTCAATCCTTAACATCTGTTTTGTTATACTGTTCCAAAAGACCTTCAGGTAAAATGTTAAAGGTGGCCATAAAATCGTGACAGTAAATAACTGAAAATTGAAAGCCAGGTGAAGCAGGGGGAAATGGAAAACATATAAACTCTAAAAGTGTAAGAAACAATCAGTCTCTTTAAGGCAGCGTTTGTGGGGGGTGGAGACTGCTCCCGCACACCAAGATGTTTAGCAGTATCTGGGGTCACATTTGGTTTCCACACTGGGTATACGAGGCAGGGAGTTGTGCTACTGGAATCTAATAGGTAATGCCTGGGATGTTGTCAGCCATCCTACAGTGCATAGGACAGTCCCCCATGACAAGGAATTACCTGGCCCTGAGGGTCAGTAGTGCTAAAGTTGGTGATGAAAAGAAACAAAAAGTTTTTGGTTTATCGTGATTCCATAAAATGCAGAGAAAGAAGCAAGTATGTCCATACCAGCAACATTTACCTAAGCCAGTCAATTTAAGCATCTCCCAAAGTGAAGGGTATGTAAAATGAGCTGAAAAAGACTGATTGATTTATCTTTAAACTTGCCTTTGTGTTGGTTGATACATTATATGTGGTTGATGCCAATTCTGTATTCTTGATTGAAAAAAGATTTTTTTTTCTAGTTAAAAAAGAATGAGGAAAATGTTTTGTCATATGTACCCAAGTTAAATTGATGACAGAATGGCAATATGTTATTTATTTTATCCTTAAGGTAAAACAGAAGGCTGGGACCATTACTTAACAATGTCTGGTAGATTTTGCCTGAGCAGACATTTAGGCAGTCAATTGGAGAATTGAGAGAAGCAGGGAACATTTTTGTCAAAGTTAATTATAGTCCCCTGGAGTTTATATGTCCTTGGAAATAGATAGGGAAATGGCAGCAGCCATGAAAATGTCCTGTCTATAAATACATTCATGAGATGTGATGGGTGGGCTCATTTGTTTATCCCTTGCAGCTCTGCAGATGTCCTGATCTCTCTGACTTCCAGCAAAAAATTTCTAGTATTCTAAGCCACAATGAAAAACTGCTGAAAGAAAAGGAAGCTCTAAGTGAAGAATTAAATATCTGTGTTGATAAGGTAATAAAAATAAGACTTTACCATCATCATATGGTATGTACCATAATGAACATTTCTCTAATGCCAGTGGCATATGGGCCCATTGTGTTAGCCTAAAAGTCTCCTGGAACAGCATTTTGCTGGCATTTTGTGACCTTAGAGCTCCTGAAGCCATTAGTTTTTTTCTTTTATTGAAGTATAGTTGATTTACAATACTGTGTTAGTTTCATGTATACAACAAAGTGATTTGGCTGTGTGTGTGTGTACTTCTTTTTTTGGATTCTTTTCCATTATAGATTATTACAACATATTGAATATAATTCCCTGTGCTATATAGTAAATCCTCATTTATTTTATATATAGTGGTCTGTATCTGTTAGTCCCATACTCCTAATTTATCCCCCCCAACTCTTCCCTTTCAGTAACCATGTGTTTTCTATGTATGACTCTATTTCTGTTTTGTAGTAATAAGTTCATTTGTATTATTTTTTTAGATTTCACATATAAGTGATATCATGTAGTATTTGTCTTTGTCTGACTTACTTCACCTGGTATGATAATCTCTTGACCCATCCCTGTTGCAGCAAATGGCATTATTTCATTTTTTTATGGCTGAGTAATATACCATGGTATATATGTATACCACATGTGTATTTATAATCCATAAAAATTTTAGGATTATTTGTTCTAGTTCTGTGTGAAAAAGTCATCAATAATTTGATAGGGATTACATTGAATCTATAGATTGCTGAGGCCATGATTTTAACAGGAGTCTAGTTGTTTAATATATATATTATTAAATACAGTAATATAAAGATTGTCTCATTTTAATAATTATTGCTAAATATGTATTACTTAAATATATCACTAGCTTACTTACATATAATATGAATATTATGAATATAATATATATATGACTATAATATGAATTTAATAATGAGAAATTAACAATCTGAAACCCATTACGTAGTCACTGTTTTTCCTACTATATTTTCCCTGCCAAGTCCAGAAACACTGCTTTTGTTACGTCTGCCTTAATAGGCACTGTTTTCCTATTGTGGCACATTCTTGGGATTTCTAATTGCCTTCCAGCCCTTCATGTCTCACCCACAAAACATGAGGCAATGAGAAAGAAAAATGGAAATCCCCAAAGAAAAGAGACTCTTCAAAATTAAAGTAGAAAAGCGAGTCAAGGAAACGTTTGTCTTTTACCGTGCCCCAATCCACTGTGTAAAGAGATGGTATTTGATCTTCTCGGTGTAAATGGAGGCATATGAGTTGAGGCTAGACATGTTTACAAAAATGCTGTTACCTCTTTTGTTTTCCTGAAACAGTTGGCAAAATCAAGTCTTTTAGAGCACAGAATTGCTACTATGAAGCAAGAACAGAAGTCTTGGGAACACCAGAGTGAAAGCTTAAAGTCACAACTAGTGGCTTCACAGGAAAAGGTAAGTGGACAGTTCTTGTTTCATCCACATAGTTAATTTTTTCCTATATCTTTTTTTTTTTTCTATATCTTCCAGCAGAACTCCAGGAAACAACGTTCTAAGTGGATGTGATCTAAAAGGGCTCATAATAATTCAATTTAACTAATATTTGACACATGTTACAGTATAATAAAATAATTTGAACAGTGTTTTCCTCAAAGTTCATTATTATGAATTAATCATGAGATTATCTCATCACTGTGAGATTACTTATTTATGAAAGCTTAAGAATAGTGCCCCAAAATGACTTCTTATTTCTAATTTAGAATTAGGATTTCTAAGGCAGGTTCATGCCCTATTATAGTTAAAGATATCTATTGACATACCATTTATCAATTTAATTTTGAAAAATTGAAATATAAATGATATTAGCATGGAGTAGGGTTCTACAAAGATAAGGTTTTATTTTAAACTGAGAGGTCCTTTGCAAAACAACATGACAGTCTAAAATGTAATTTCTACAAAATTCAGTAAAATTATCTATTGTTATGCCAGCTGGTACTGCCTGGTTCTGTAAGATATCAGTTGGTAATATACCAGATGACTGGACCAGCAATACCTTGCTCAAGGTATATTTCATTATTCTCTTAAATGTAATATAACATCCTGTAAAGATACATAATATCCTGGTTTGCCCTGAGCAACTGAAAAGAGCTGGATATAGTAAGTAAAAACAGAAGGGACTTTGGAGTTCTTTGTCTTAGTTCATTCATACATGCAGATGCTATAGGTGAGACCATGAAGATTTGTCATTTGTTCTCCTGACATAGGTTCAGAACTTAGAAGACACCCTTCAGAATGTAAACCTACAAATGTCCCGAATTAAATCTGATCTACGGGTGACTCAGCAGGAAAAGGAGGCTTTAAAGCAAGAAGTGATGTCTCTACACAAGCAACTTCAGAATGCCAATGACAAGGTAATTTCTTTTCTTTATTGAGGTATAACTTTATATAGTAAAATGCACACAGTTCAGTTTATAACTTACTTTTACACATATATATGTATCTATATATAAATGTGTATTTTACCTAGAAATGTGTGTATGTATGTTTGTGTTTGTGTAACCACCTCCTAGCTCAAAATAAAGAACATTTCCAGCACCCAGTAGTCTGTCTTGTGTCCTCTTCAGTTGACAACCCCAAGGGAACGACTTTACCTTCTGCCACCGTAGGTTAGGGATGCTTGTTTCTGAACTTCACATAAGTGGAACCATAGTGACAAGGTAATTTTTTATATTGTACAAATCAAAAGACCATGGGTAAAAACATTTTGATATTATAGCAAGTGTCTCATATCACAATGCTGCTTCATCTGTTTGCAAATAAATTAAGAACAGTATATGTAGACAGCATATTAAAAAGCAGAGACATTACTTTGCCAACAAAGGTCTGTCTAGTCAAGGCTGTGGTTTTTCCAGTAGTCATGTATGGATGTGAGAGTTGGACTATAAAGAAAGCTGAGCACAAAAGAATTGATGCTTTTGAACTGTGGTGTTGGAGGAGACTCTTGAGAGTCCCTTGGACTGCGAGGAGATCCAAAACCAGTCCATCCTAAAGGAGATCAGTCCTGAATATTCATTGGAAGGACTGATGCTGAAGCTGAAACTCCTAATACTTTGGCCACCTGATGCAAAGAGTTGTCTCATTGGAAAAAGACCCTGATGCTGGGAAAGACTGAAGGCAGGACAAGGGGATGACAGAGGATGAGATGGTTGGATGGCATCACCGACTCAAAGGACATGAGTTTGAGTAGACTCCAGGAGTTGGTGATGGACAGGGAGGCCTGGTGTGCTGCAGTCCATGGGGTCGCAAAGAATCAGACATGACTAAGCGACTGAACTGAATTGATGTATGTCAGCCTTGGGTAGATGTTAAGATTTTGTCCTACCATAAAAATTGGTGCTAAATTCAGCTACTTTATCTCTTGCTGATACTTTTTTTTAACTGTGGTTTTTAAAAAAAAATAATAGATGTTTCCATTTTTAAAAATGACTTTTGGGCTGAAATTTTTTTCAAAATGAGACTGTACCATTTTTTTTCTTTTTCATGATTTGGCTTGAAAAGCAAAAGGCTTATCTAGTTGTGATACCTAAAAAAAAAAATTTTAAAGCATCTTTCAGGATCAAAAAAAAAAAATCACTGTGGTAGCTTAAAGCATATTCCTGAGTTCAAGCCTCAATTATATGGATGATACGTACTTTGGGTTCTAAAAAAGGATATGATTGCATATGTGAAAATGAAAGTAGAGTTTGGCATGTGAACCCTTTCAAGTTAGCCGTGCATTTCAGAGTTCTCTTTGTGTCCTATGTTAACCAAAAGAATGCTTATATGGATTCAAAGCATAACTTCATAAGAATGAGGTAATCTTTAAGGACACGAGTCTCTATGTGCTTGGGTCCTATATGGAACTGGGACTTGCCCTACAATCAGCTTTGCTATTAGATTTGATAGAGCTATTTTGCCAAAGACCATTTAAAACAGAATTTCTAAACCTTTTTTTAAGATAAAAACTCAAGAATATTGTTTTACTTTTATCTATATATACCAGTGGTCACTCACATTAGAAGACACTCAAAAAAGAAATCAGCTTGTTTTTTAAGGTTTTTCTGTTTATTCTCTCTTAAGAACCAGGCCCCAGAAATAGGCACCCATCCATCAGGATTCCATAACCAACAGCAAAGTCTGTCCTGGGACAAGCTGGATCACCTGATGAATGAGGAACAACAGTTACTTTGGCGAGAGAATGACAGAGTCCCAACCATGGTACAGAACACCAAACCGGAACTCATACTCTCCCGGGAGAAGGTAACTTGAAAAGTTGCACGTGGTAGCCTAGGTTTGTGAGTCAATGTTTGATATGATTGCAGTGATTCTAGGGTAAGGATTTGAGTTTTCTGGTGTGGCAGACTTATTTTAAGAATGTATAATTTATCATTTACTTGCAATATAGTTTTATCATGATATGTTTATATACTATTTTTTTGTATAAGCAGTTCTATATTAAATCTGTGATTTTATAGATGGAAATTATGTTAACCATATATTCCTCATTCAAATAGGCTAGCCACCAAGACTGGTAGTACAAAAATGGTAAAACTAAACTCAAATCTTGTTGGTTTAACTCTTTGTAAGAGGAAAAGTTGCCCCACTTTAAAGACGCAGCATTTCAAGGCTAGAATGGTATTTAAAGATCATTTTTTTTTTCCAGCTGATGTTTAAATTCTTTACCTCTGCTGAGTGGTCAAGCAATTCTTTTTTTAATTTATTTTTAATTGAAGGATAATTCCTTTACAGTATTGCGTTAGTTTCTGCCATACATCAATATAAATGAGCAACTATTTGTAACCTATGCTTAAATCTCTCTTTTGAGAAAGAACTCTTAGGAGTCACAGATATTCACTAGAACTGCTACACTGTGCCAGAAACTCTGTTATCACTAAAGTTGCAGTGGTGAACAAGACTCAACATGGTCGCTGTCTTCATGGAACTTAGCTGATGTAAATGCACTATTCAGTGTGAACAGTCCTATGCAGAGTCAGAGGAACTGTCATCCCCTTCACTCCTAAAAGTTCTGCTTATGTAGACACACAGGTGCCCACAGATGATGTCTCTTTGCTTGGCGGCCACATTGCTCTACTGACTCCCAGTGCTTTGGCTGAACCAGAAGTCCCCTCTTCCCTGTCTGATGCTTATAGTGTTGGATCAGGCTAAAAATAGATTAACCTAGAAAGGATCTTTTGAAATTCAAAAAAGTAAGCTTCAAAAATTGGCAGACTTGACTGGAAAAAGCTTTTTTAATACAACAAAACCCAAGCACTGAATAAAAACTTTCATTATGTTAGCTTTTTGTTTTTCCTGACTGGGTGGTTACATTAGCATTTCTTCCCCTTATGCTGGTTCTTGTTAGGTCCGTCAGCTGGAATCCAACCTCCCTTCTCCTAAGCACCAAAAACATCTAAACTTCTCAGGCACTGTGAAGCCCACAGAGCAGGAGAAGTTGAGCTTAAAGAGAGAATGTGAACAGTTTCAAAAGGAGCGATCTCCTGCGAATAGGAAGGTGAGTTTTTGAGTTAATACCACATGCCTATATGCTGACTCTGATGCATCCCTAAATGTATGTTTCTTCCCCTGTGTGCTTCCAAGGAAATGACTAATGGCATATTTTGGTTCTTCCTTTTATCTGCACTTTTGTCATCTTGTCAAAGCAGTATCATATTCCTTTTTGATTGAGCGACTGCTAAAAAGGAGCAATTTAAGTTTTCATAAAGAAGATGGTTAATCATCTTCATTAGTATATAAGCCTTTGTAAATTAGTAAAACATATATACCTGAATATTAGGAATATTTTAATTTGCCTAACTATTGCTGTATAATAAAAAGACAAAACATTCATGTCTCAGTTTCTGTAGGTCAGGAATTTGGAAGGAGCTTAATGGAATGATTTTGGCTCAGGGTCTTTCCTGAGGTTGCTGTCTAGATATTAGCTGAGGCTGCAATATCCGAAGGCTTCACTGATGCTGGAGATCATCCACTTCCAGATTTATTCAGATAACGTGTTAGGAAGAGGCTTCTGTTTTTTGCTGACTGATTGCCAGAGGCTCAGTTCTTCACTACCGAGGCCTTTTCTCACGATGTGGCAATGAGTGATACAAGAGAGAGATTCCAGAAGAACATGATGGAAACTGTAATATGTTTTATAAACCAATCTCAGAAGTCACACAACATCACTTCTGTATTCTATAGGTCACACAGACTAACTCAGGTATAGTGGGGGCAGGGGACCAGGCAAGGGTGTGAGATAGGGATCAGCCGGGACCCGCTTAGAGGCTGGCTACCACATGGTTAAACCTCTGTAACACGATTCCATTTGCTTTGTATTCTTTGTTCCATGAAGTTTGAGTTCTAGACCAGTGTTATTGTGGGAGTTCTTGTTACTTGTTTTCCTTTCTTTCTTTTTCTAAACTAAAACTCAAGAGTTTTCACTACAGGCACAGCTTGGAGATATCCCGGGTTCAGTTCCAGACAACCACAATAAAGTGAGTCACACAAATTTTTTAGTTTCCCAGTGCAAATAAAATTATGGTTCCATAATTATGTCATTTAAAGTCTAGGTTATATTCAAGTAAACGTTTCAGAAAGATGTTGGGTTTCATCCAGCTGCTCACCAAGGGGAAAGTCTAATGATAGGTTTTAAAATAACGATGAATTTAATTTAAGTGCGCCTGGAAAGCGTATGCTGAATTCCATTTAACAGTTCTTACTACCCTCCTCAGCTCTTTTGATGGAGGCCAAGATTAGCATTCTAGAATTGTATCATATGTTTTCTACTTAGCAATATTCTGAATCCTTGAGTGTCCTCTAGCTCATTAGATTCTCATAAGATCCTGTACCAAAGAGAATTCCAAAAGTGGATCCTCATAAAATTTTCAAATTTCTCTTTAAAATTGAGAAAAAGGTTAAATAGATCAGGTTTTGTGTACTCTGTTTTCAGACATTTTTCCCTACTGCAGATCCATAGTAGATGATCATGATCTCAGTTACTGAAATACCAGCATTTAAAAACATTTTTATTATAGTTTCTTTACAATGTTGTGACAACATCTTTAATAAAACATACTATAAAATATCAGAGTGCGTGGCTTATAGTAGGGATATGTATTATTTTATGGAAGTTTTCTTTTAGTGATATATACTTACAACTGATTATGCATGTATATGTACATGTGGGGGTGTGGGGGTGTACTGGGTTGCAAGATAAAATGTATTTTGTACAGTGAGTGGCATTGAAGTTTGAAAGCTACCTGCCTTAGGACTTTGTTCTATGTGAGGAGTGGTGATTAAAGCTAGAATACTTAAATATATCAGTGCACTGAATTATTTGTTCTTTTCCCTTGATGAATGAACTCAGCTTTCTTCCAAGAGTTGAGATTTCTGATTAGTGTAAATTTGTCAAAAAAAAGTAGAGCAATTCAGGTTGTTTTCTTTTTTTTAAGGGAGTTTTATGTTTTTCAACAGGTTGGTCAGATAAAATCCCTTGAACGAGAATTAGAAACAATTCATCTGGAAAATGAAGGCCTGAAAAAGAAACAAGTAAAACTGGATGAACAGCTAATGGAGGTAAGTTTTTAAGGCAAATGACCTTAGCTATGAAGAATATTTTAATCCATGAATGACCCATTTGTTGAGAGAGGCTAGCATAGCATTAAATTCCTATTACGAAAACAGTGAAAATCTAAGTACATTGCCAAGCTGTACTCTTTGGTTTGTCTTACCAAGTTTGATAGATATTTTTGCTAATTACACAGCTGTAGGAATATATACTGCTTCACAGAAGAAGGAATAATAATAATAATGCTGACCATCCTAAAATGCAAGGACCTGTGCCTCAACAAATTCAAGTGGCAGGGACTCTGTCCAGTACTAACCTAGAGGTTCAGAGCTCTCTCACCAATGCTGTGGTTTTAATAGTTTCCTGATACCTCCCCCAGTATAGTGTTTTATAGATGTGATGTGCTCTGTTACAACCTATTCAGTTAGGAAGTACATTCAGGGAGTTTAAGAACATTAGCATTTAGACATTTAATTTTCAGGTGTTGCCATTGTTCATTTCTACATTTGTAACTCAGCACTGCCTTGGGAGAGGTACATCTGTTAAATATAAAAGTGGATTTGTAAAACTTGTCATCTTGGACATTGAGTTTCTAGTCTAATAGATTGCTTTCTGAACACCAAGTGCAATTATAGGATGTAAAACAATTTATGTAAAATCTCCCTTAATAAGTAAAAATTTCATTGAGGTACTTTACTTTGGGTAATAAAAATATTAGTTAGTCCAGCATTTAATGACCTGTAACATTATATAAGGTAGAGAAGTATGGGTAGAAAATCTTCCTGTGCTCTTAAAAGTTCCGTGTATACAAATATTTTAAAGCCAGAATTATAGGAAGAGAGATATGTAAGTATTTTCTTTCATGAAGCTGGACATATGCAAAGATAAGTTTCAATAGATGCTTGGTTTTTAAATATGAAATATGGGCAAACATATCGCATTTACATTTAAATGACCACTAAGATTTCTGTCAATTTTATGTTCTCTGATTTATCTACTAATAGGGAGATTAGTGACACTATAAAGAATGAAATCCAGACCATTTTTGTTTTTCCTTCTGCATATAATAAATGTGTTTATTAAAACTTTGAGCTTCAGTCTGTGTTTAGATGTAGATATGCTTTTCTGATGAAATAATTACATACTGTAATGAATGAGAGATCTGAAGCCACACATGACATGTCTAATACCCAATTGGAAAGTAACAGGGTATACTTAATCACTGTTAGAGCCTCTCCAAATGCTCTTCCAACAGGCTGTGTCTTCTCCCACCTGCTCTCTTTGGCCTCATATGCCCCCTTCTCTCCCAATCATATGTTACATGATTAGTCATCATAAGCAATTTCCCCTCATTACTTTTCCCCCTGATCTGGTAGTAAATATTTGGTAATAGATGAGGGAAATTGAGTGTTCTTGGCACTGGAGCTGAAAAACGAAAAAGCGTGAATTTTTAATTGGAACACTGTAAAGAACATCTCATACACTATTCTAATGAAACTTCCATTGAAATACGACTGAGCTGTGAACTCTGTGCAGACATATAATTCAATTCTTTAGCAGCTTTATTAAATGTAATTCATACACTACACAATTCATTCATTTAAAGTGTCTAATTCAGTGATTTGGGTATATGACATTGTGTTTTAATTTATACTAAGTGTGTATATATATATGGAAATATATATATATGAATGATTAAAATGGCAAATTTTGTTAAGTGGCATTCAGTGGCATTAATTACAGTCACAATGTTCTACAACTGTCACCACTGCTTCTAAAACCTTTTCATCACCCCAAACAGAAACTCTAACCATTAAGCAATAACTCTTCATTTCCCCTTCCCACTGGACCTATACATTGGATTTTTATTTATGCTGTGCTATCTAAAGATTAGGCCAAATTTGAGGACGTACAGTGGTTTTTCACACCATTTTTATTGCCCAGCTCATCAGGGGATAGGTATAGGTACATTCTTCTCACTCCAGCATGGATTCTCATCAGGTTTGGGGGAGGGGCAGTAGGCAGGCAGGGAGATATTCCTACATCAGAATCTTTGGTATCAAGGAATTTAGGGAAAGCTTTCTAGGTGATTCTATCTGATGTATGCACTCCCGTGGGGGAAGGAATTTCTTCTCATCGCTATAGAATAGTTTAAAATCACTGATTAATATAACACATACCCTTACCCCAGGGCAATTAAAGATCCCAAATTATTAGACCAGGAAATGGAAGAATTTGCCTCCCACTCCATGGTTTTTTCAACTATATGAGGCAAAGTTCTATAAAACAATTTGTTTTGAACACCTAAAAAAAAAAGTTACAGACTGTTAGCAGTTCTTATAGTCTGATGTGTACCTCTGATAGCCAATAGTTCAGACACTTGAACAACAAAAATGTTTTGTGGTTTATATCCTGCATCTCCACAAGGCAAGGTATTTAACATCAGGTCTATTCCATACTGCCCTTGAAATCTTCTAAATTATTATATTGAAATGAATGGAGGTAAAGAAGCAAGCTCATAAACCAACCAAATTACAATAGATGAGGAAGTAGCTGCCAAATTAAGAGCTGTTTGACGTTTTAATATCTGTAAAATTTATATACAGAGAACTGTAAATGTTGGTCTTTTTAAGTTCCTACTGACTAGAGCGTATGTGTTAAGGTATGTAGTATACCCTGTTTTGTGCTGTTCTTTCTCTTTATAACTCATATTTTCTTTCTCTTTTATAACTCCTGTAATTCTCTTTTTTATCTATGGCTAACCTGTACCTAGAACTCTGTGGTTGGAACTAGCAGAGAAGGGTGCAGTTCTCTGCCTGAGATAGTGTGTGAAGGTAGAACATTCTCTTTCAATGAATTTCATAGCATGGAGACATCTCATCAAACCCCTTATTCATGTAATCATTTCTACTACTGTGACAGTTAATACATACTTAAGAGCCAATATTCAAATTCATTTAATTCTGGACTATATCTGTTTACATTTCCATTAGGATTTTCTTCAGTATTTAAAGATGTGGTGAAGAAAATCATCCCACTGATACAAGATCAGGGGATCATAAAGTGGTGGGTTTTCTAAATCTATAACTAGAAATATTTCAAAATGGGTAATACCCCACCTCAGAAATTTAAATTTAAGGAAATGGATAGTGGCTCTGAAGTTTCATGATAACATTTAATTCTAGAGGGCCTTTTTCCCTTCTCACATGCCTGGGGGTGCTTCCTCATGAGTTTAGTACTTGGTCATATTTGTTGCATGTCTTCCATTGAGCTCTGTGTCTACTGAATGTGTCCACAGATGTGAAGTGGCATGCTTCACTGACCAAATGCAGTGCCTTCTTTCCCTTGCCCCACATTTGATTGGCATGTGATACACATACCATTTCCTCATTGTCTTGAATAAATCCTTTCATTCCATGTTACTTCGATTCCCAAATATTCTGGAATATCACCTTATGTCCTAGAATTGCCTGTCTGATAAACTAAGATAGATTAAAATAATTTGATATGCAAGATGAGATTCTCAAAACAAATTGCTAACTTAGAAGAAAAGTAGTCATTGGACTGCTTTTAAGAATCTTTTTGGGGAATTCCCTGGTGGTCCAGTGGCTAAGACTCTGTGCTCCTGATACAGGGGGGCTGGGTTCAATCCCTAGTTAGGGAATTAGATCCCACATGCCACAACTAAGACTCTATGCAGCCAAATAAATAAAAATAAATGTGTTTTTTTTTTAAAAAAAAAAAGAATCTTTATGAATGGTAAGTGGCAAAACTCTAGAGCATAACCTCTTTCTACCCTTTGCCTATTCCACCTTTTTTTTTTTTTAAAGAGGGATAATTAAATGTTCTAGTGTAGGAAGAAAAAAGGAAAATCCAGACATACGTGCACCATGTACCTCATTTTTATTGTTGCTTAAGATTGAGGAAGTACAGTGTAAGTCTAAAACTTTTAAGGCCTGCTTATTCATTAAATGTATTACCTCCTAAGCAAAATGATTTTTTATTTTTACTTGGGATCATGTGCTGCCTGTTTTCAAGTTATCAGTAAGTCTGAGAGGCCATTAATGAATCTGTAGACTTCCTTTCTCCCTGCCTGCTACTTTCAAGGCAGCTCTGTGACTGAAGGCATGGTAGCTGACTAGGGCTCTGCTCTTATTCTCCAGATGCAGCACCTGAGGTCCACTATGATGCTTAGCCCATCCGCTCATGCTTGGGAACTGCAACTGCTCCAGCAGCAGGCCTGTCCAGTGGTTCCCAGGGAGCATTTTCTGCAGCTTCAACACCAGCTGCTGCAGGCAGAAAGGATAAACCAGTGCCTGCAGGAGGAACTTGAAAATAGGACTTCTGAAACCAACACACCACAGGTATGATGATCTTTTTCTAATAGTAAACGCAGATCACCTAGTTTAATTTTACCTATTTGGAAGTTACACCAGTTCAAAGGTGGGGATGAAGAACCTGTCTTTTGTCAGTTACACCTTACCTGTATTACAAATCCACAGAAGTGCAGTGCTGTTTGGGCTTTGGTCTTGGTTTTTTTGCAGTGCTACTTTTGAGCTCTCAGCTGCTAAGCTGGGTAATTAGGAGTTCTGGGTCTCGTGCAAGTTGCTAAGCGATGATGAAGTGTCAGGCTCACTTGAGCATACCGTGCAATTGACCTAACATTCTTGTCTGATGCCAAAAATGTTACAGAATTCAAGTGCAACTCTAGGATATGTATTACTAACAAAGCATCCTGGGTTTTCTTGTACTAGAGGGGTGTGGCCTGCTAAGTTCCTTGGAATTCATAAATGGGGACTTTTCACAACTATTAAAGTAGAATGTGTCATCGGTGACTTTTTTAAGTTGACATAGTTCATTTAGCTTATTTTTTAAATGATCTAGTTTGAAAAGCTATTTTTAAGAAAATAAAGATCTTCCTCTTCCCTTTGAATTAGCATTATCCTAGCTCACTACCAGACACAATCTTATATTACCTAAGTTTTCAAATAGTTAAATTTTCTTTTTAGTGCTTCATTCATGATTCTCTTCTTTCAGAAGTCTCTTAATTCTTCCTCAGAATTAGGAATAAAATTAAAAACACTCCTTAATTTGCAGAATTCTAGATTAGTTAATTCTAGGTTGGATAACTCTTCTGTTTTCAAAATTTACCTTGCCTCTCAGGTGACATTTGACAAGGAATTTTCCAACTCTTTTTCTGTAATCTGGTCACAGTTGCTTTGCAAAGTCATATTGGCACCATAATTGTACATTGGAGCAATTTTGTTTTCTTTGCCTACTAGTATATATCTATCTTTTGCATGATGTAGTCGTCATCTGTACTTTCTAACAAAGGCTTAAAATCCATGTTTTTGGAAGCTTCCTACATTCAATTTCCAAATACTAAAAGTTAATTCCAGAAGTAACATTGTGATGGTAGGTATTGGACAGATGCTTCAACTCTTCATTATAGAAGTGAATCATAAAACTTGACCTCAGTTTTTAATAGACATTTTAAATCAAATGATCGAACTAAGATCCTACTCATTACTCTCTCATATATACTACTTTTAAAACATGCTCCTCTCAACCCACCTACCAGTGTTTAAAAGTAAAAAGTATCCCTTTACTTCAATTACTTGAGGATTAGATAGACAAAAACTGTTAAGATTTTGTATTTAAAAAGAGAGAATTTTTCCAGCCAGATGGCAGAGTGGACTGCTTATTGCTCTCACGAGAAGGTGCTGGCAGGCTCTCTCTGTTTAACTGAGCTGACACCGATTTTAAGAATACAGAATGTTGTTAGAATCTGCATGTTGTCTCTGCGTGTGGAGTGATGTGATTTCGTCTGCCTTGTGTTGCTTCGCTTGCATATGTAATATTGATGTGTGCTTTTAAAAATTGTTTGCATTATAAATGTGTGAATTTAGATTCCCCCCAAAAGCATAATCTTGACATCAGGGTGAAGTGTACCACTTGCCTTCTTTCTCTAGGCCTTGCTACCGGAGCAGCGAGCAGTGCACGCAGACTCCTACAGAAGGATTGGGCACCTGTGAAAACTGGGCTGTTATTGATGGCATTTCTTACCATGGCAGATACTCAAATGCACACACCCACACACACCACACAAATATAGACATAAGCTGAGAAATGTTTTGGAAACAAGTGCTCTTTTAAGTTTTATTATTATTATTAAGCCTTTGCAGTATTATGTTTCTTATTTATGTGAATCAAATTCACAAATTTCAGCTTGTTACACTTAAAGAGTATGAATTTGAGATTCTTGAAAGGATGTGAATTTTGTGAATCAAATTCACAAATTTCAGCCTGTTGCACTTAATTATTTATACCATCTAAAGAGTGTGGATTTGAGATTCTTGAAAGGATGTATTCTATATATTTTCTCATTCCATACATTGTAAATATTTTTAACAAAAGGTACTGCTTTTATATATGGAATTTAAAGAAAATCAGGATTATTTATACTGTTTTATATATATAAGATGTATAATACTTTTTTGACAGGAAAAAGGAAATTTTTGATGAAATAAAATAAATTTTAAATATATGACTGCTTTTGTTTTTCCTCTTTCCCCACTCTTTTGCCATGCCCCATGTTCTTTGTATTAATTATCCAAGTTTTTTGCTTTGTTTTGCTTTTTCTTTTTTTTAAAGGCAAGTGAAAATCTGGCATTTTCCATTTATGTTTGAATTTTATACCTTTTAAAATATAGGATTTTTAGATGCTCTTAGGACCTGGTTTCTTGAAACTTCTACATTCATCTTTTGTCTACTACAGTTTTTATCTTTAAATTAGTTGCATGGCTTAGTTATTTCTTTTATGTTTGAATAAATGCTATTATTTAACACACAAACAAATGTTGGCTTTCACCTCACATTTGGTCATTCTTTGTGTTTTTTAAAGAACACTTTGGGGTATATTTTTAAGGACAGGTTATGCCATCAGCTACTAACACCTGAGTCTTGCTTAAACATTCGAAGAACCTTTTAAAATCTGAAATTCTTTATGTGAACATTTTGGTAGACCGGGAGAAGAGGTAGTCAGTTGCACTCTAAATCTTGTTCTAGGTCCCTCTGTACTCCAAAACCCATACACATCTTAATCCATCACTGTTGTATAAGGAGAGGAGGAGAAGCCAGCATCCTTTTTCTGCCCTATTGTTTCATCTAGGAGCTCTTTATGGGGAGAAAATTTTCAGTTTTAAATATGTTCTAATGATAAGTCCATCCTCCAATTCAGGTATTTGCTCCACATTGACAAGTCAAATTGGGAAACCAATAATTAGAAGAACTAGTGGGAAGAGGCTACTAGAAACACTAACACCCTCACAGTAACCAGCCATTTCGAAAATAAAACAGACACACATACTGCAAGCTGATTAGAAATGTTAGGTGATCCTGAATAAACTCAGGTTTTATTCATTTTGTTGTTGAAAGTCCCACAGTATTGCAAAGACCCAAATCACAGATGAAAGATTGATAACCATCTTTTAATTTACTTTGGATACCTATTTTACTGTAATAAGTACACACAGATCTTAAGTATTGGTTTTAAGACTTTTGCTTTATCTCGGGGGAAGGTGGTAGCACAGGTAAGATTCTTTTTTTTTTATCTTTGATTCTTTCTCTGATAGGGTTACCTTTCTAACCTGTGCAACCCATGCAGTGTTCAGAACTCCCATTTCATCAGAAATCCACCCTTGCTATTTAAAAGCAAACATTCGCTGTCCTTTCTCTAGGCCTCTTATGGGGAAAATTAACTACTAGTGCTTTCTCATGGCATGATTTTCAAATAACAATATAATTTTTTTTCTTTTCCTTCAGGGAAACCAGGAATACCTGGTAACTGTCATGGAGGAACGAATGTTGGAAGTTGAACAGAAATTGAAACTGGTGAAAAGACTTCTTCAGGAGAAAGTGAATCAGCTCAAAGAACAAGTGAGCTTCCCAGGTCATCTCTACCCACCCATCTCACCTTCTGCTTTAACTCCAGTTTTACTTTCCTTTATTGCTACTAACTTGCTAACTTTTATTGTCTAATAAAGGCAAACTCTATTATAAACTCCTAAATTAGAAGAATTTAGGAGTCACTGTTTCCCATACCACTTCAAAAATATGAATTCTGTATTCTACATTGTCTTTTCCAAAGTTCTTTTGAGTCATATGTTTGTCTACAATTTTTTAAATGTATATTTGCTAACAGTGACTCGTGGACCTAAAGCATTTCTAATGAGGTTCAATCCAAATTGAATTTTTATAGATTTTTTTTGCCCGAATAAACAGAAATTTTATATTTATTTAAAAAAAATGGGATAATAAGTGTAACTTTAGCTTTCCTGTTTGCAACAACTATGACAGCCTCAAAATCTAACTTGTGACTATAGCCAGACCCCAAAAGGCTGTGTTTTGAATCAGAATCTTGACTCTCAAATTCAGGATCACCAAGTAGGCTGAGCTTTTTTTCTTGCTGGCAGCAAGTGTGGCCTGAGTGCTTATAAATTATTTGTGCATCCACTGAAGAGACATAACAGAAAGGATTACTTTCTAGGGAATTTTATAACCTCTCTGGAATCTGAGATTGAGACAAACTGTGACGGGGGTAGGAGGGTAAAAACTGCCCAACCTGGATTTTTAGACATGTAGAATCCGAGAAGAATAATCCCAAGGGAATGGTGGACAGGAACTTTCCTGTGTCCTAAATCTTAATACACAGAATGGAGAGAAAGAGAACGTCCTGTACTTAACATTTATTGATTCAGTCCCTTACTCATTTATTCAACACCTAGTCACTACATGCCAGGTTCTGTTCCAGGAACTAGAAATACAACAAAATCCCTGCCCATATGGAGTGTAGTTCACCTACATGGTACTGACCATTGGCAGTACTTCCAGTAGCAGTTCAAAAACAAAGAAAATGGGTAACATGGGGTGTGGACATCTACAAACACTTTGGCATTAACAGTTCATCCTATTCTGGGAGAAGCAAAAGAAACAAGAGAGGGGGAAAAGTAGACAGTGGAGGGTCTTAGTGCTAAGCCACAAGAGTTTGGATTTTGTTGTGTACTGGATAAGAGTCGCTGAAGTGTTTTATAATGGAAGGGAAAGAGGAAAGGTTATACACTAAAACAGTTTAATAGAAAATATTAGGTTTTTTTTTTTGTTTAATAATGTTAGTTTTATGTTAAACTTGGTAGTCACCTAGGTTCTGGGCTTCCATGTGATAGTCTTTAGCATTGCTCTTTGAAATGCTATTATGTAAATTAGTTAGCCAAGCCTTAAGTTTTCTTTATGACCTTAAACCTTCATACTTAAATATGCATTGCCTGAAACTGTGTGTAAAATGAGGAGTTAAAGGTATAATGAGGGAAAGGGGATTGGAAGATATTAACTAAGGAGACCAAAAATCAAATTATTCTAATACTGCTGAAGAGTGTTCCCACCCTAACCAAGACTATATATTCTAACCATAAAGATTAGAATATCTCTTCTAGACAAGGTTTTATTTTAAAAGGAAGTAACTGCTGAATCTTTGTGTTATAATACATGAGCTACATTTAGTAGTTTGTATGTAGTAGTTATGAACAGGAGACAAGCATCTATTGTTAATAACAGGTAAACAGTTCACAACCTCAGAAATTTAAATTATAAAAGTATTGTGATGTTTTTAGAGAATGAATAAAGAAATAATACCTAGGCTGAAAATACCTTCACTTTTGAACCTTCAAATGTCAATTTGTTCTTTTATTAGTGACTTCTACAAACAAATTATGCAAAGAAACAGCCTGGAATAAGTGGATTTGTTTTACTTGTATCCCTGGTACCAGGTCTGATATTAAAGCTGTATTGTAAAATAAAAGAATATAACTGATAGAAGCCATTTGCCTTTATAAACAACTGTCCTTATGTCAGATCTTTTAAAAGAATAACAGAAATGGAGTCAAGATGTTTCTGGTTCTGTTTCCAGCTCTGCAAGAATACCAAAGCAGATGCAATAGTGAAGGATTTGTATGTGGAAAATGCCCAGTTGTTGAAAGCTCTGGAAATGACTGAACAGCGACAAAAAACAGCAGAGAAGAAAAATTACCTCCTAGAGGAGAAGATTGCCAGCCTCAGTAATATAGTCAGGAATCTGACACCAGCACCACTGACTTCTACACCTCCCTTGAGGTCATAACCAAGCCAAAGGATGAACACTCGTAATTGTGCACTTTACTGAAATGGATGGGACATTTCAGATATTCTCTCAACTGTTGTTGTTGTTGTTTTCTTAGAAACCTTTAGTGGCTTAAAGTTAAGCCTAACCTAAAACTTCCAGGAACAGAATTAAAGTCTCTATTCACTGTAATTAGTTTTTCTAAATAGACTGTAATGGAAGTTGCAAACAAATATCTATTTCACTGAACTGTTCCCAAGCTTTGAGTTTTTAAAAAATATTCTAATAACCATCAAGCAGGTGATATGAAAACAATTCAAGAATTTTAAAACCCCAGTTTTGAATGAGTTTTTCAAAATTACTATTATGTACAAGTTGTTATGTAAATTGCAGATTTTTAAAAATTGAGATATTATTAATTGGTTGTTTTGACCTTTATTTTAAAACAAAATGTATGTCTTCTCATACACTTAAATATGGAAGAGTCATTCTGTTTCTAGTAGTTTGGGTTTTTTAATTGTTAGACTTTTTGTTTGGTAACAGAAACTAGAGTCAATAACCACTGAGGTCAGAAAAGGCAGAATTCATAGAACTCTACCTTCTAATACCTATGACAGTATTACCACTCTTGATGTCTTATAGATATAAAACTCATTTACTCAACTGCACTGTAAACTAATGTTAAAACTTTACTTTCTTTAAACAGTCTTTTTTTTTTTTTCCTTCTTAGAAGTTTCTTTGGGAGTTTGTCTTCTAAGAAATGGATAAAGCCACATTCTTAAAGCATTTGAACTATAGGGCAAGCACTGAACAAACAGACTGCTTTGGAGTAAACAGCTAATCCTGAAAGAGAGAGGAAGCAAGCCATGTGGATTTTTCTCTCTTTAAGGTCTTGGAGTTCATGAACTTATATTTGGAGTTGCATCAAGAACTCAGGGAACAATACTTTAAGTCATCTTCCTGAAATACTGTAGGGCTCTTTAAAAATTTGAAATGTATAAAATATGTGACCTTATTTATTTGTTGTATATTTAGAGCCATAATGGGATTTTTATTTCTACATTTTTAATGAATTTACTCTTCTGGGGAAAGGGCCTTGCTTTTAGAGTTAAAAACCTCTTTTAACTTACGGAAGAGTTATTATTTGCTTGTTTGTTTAATGTGGGTCAAAATTTCCATGCTTCCTATTCCTCTGTACCTTGAATCTGATCATAAGAATTTTTTACTGTAATAAGAACTGGCATGCCTTCTGAGGTAAAGGAGCACCAAATAGGATTTTCCAATCAGTCTCAAGACTAGAACATTATAGAACAGTAAACGTTTTGAATAACTTTTTCCCCCAGATAAAATCCCCGCTTCTAGCCTACTTCAGCGAGGAATTGGTTGGTAAAGAACTTTGTGTGTGGCATGCAAACAGACATTATCACAGCCACCTATTTGTTTTTGTGGAAGGGTAATTAGATCACAAAAATCCACTCTGCTCTATTCCAGGAAAGTCAAGTCCATCAATTTTTTTATAAGAGGTATCACAGCAAAATCAAACACTACCTTTGGGCAGGAACAAAAGGCAAAGCAAACTGCTAATGAAAGCTCTATTATCAGAAATTCCTAATTTCCCCCTGGAAAAGAATTAATTTTAATCCCTCCCTATAGTTATATTTAAAAACATTTGATATCTGCTGTCATACCTTCCATAATCATTTTTCTCCAGTGCAGACAGTACTAAACTCAACTATTTATGCAGCACTGACTTTAACACTTAAAACTGTAGCTAGGCCTAGGGTAAGATCATAAATAAACTAAGCACCTGTGGTGTTTTTATGTGATATGCTTTAAGTTATTCAAGGCTTTTGCCATCAGAACTGAACACCAAGCATACTTCTCAAATAGATGGCTTACCATATGATCACATATGTTGTATTTTTATCTTTATTTTTTACATTATGAAAAGTATAGGTTAATTTGTTTATTTCTTATAAATCTGTATTTATATGTATATAAAGTGCTGTACAATGAGTGTAAATATGACTTCTGGAAAGTTTTAGACAACATTTAGAATCCCTTTAAAATCAAAACGCTGCTCAAATGAAAGTTAATTTAATATCTAGGTGCTTACTTTTTGTTTTACTGAACTTATAAGACTGGAAAAAAGATCAACACAAGTAGAGTTACCTTAAATTTATATATTTGTGCAGCAGATTATTTTTGTAGACTAGAGTGGGAATTTAACTGGCAATTTATAATATAGCTTACAGCTTTTAAAAAACTTTTAAAGAGATTAAATTTAAACTATTAAATATTTAGATTTTGCTTTCAAACTTTATAATAGGACTCCTTAAAATCATGTTATATATTTTATAGGCATTAATTCCTAGTTTATTAAAAGTAATGGTTGTTAAATTCATTTGATTTAAGAACAGTTAGTTAAATTAGTTTTAGGAGATAGGATCTTCATTTCAAGGAAAGAGAATCAAGTTTGCCATTTTGATAATATGTTACCCTTAGAAAGGGAAAATGTGAATAATAAAACCTACATTGTTCTATTTTGCTTTCTTCTGCTTTTTAGAAGCCTGAGCTCTTAAGCTCAAATTTGTAAGGTGAGAAAAGTGGATGGGGAGGATAGAACCAACCACAGTATTTATTTTTCTAAAACTTAATAAACCCAGATTTTTAAAAACTATTGTAAATGTGAATTCTTCCCAGAAGCTTCAAATGCATTGTTTATATATTTAACCTTAAACATATGGAGATCACAAAGTCATAGGCTTTCAAGGTATAGGAGGAGTTCTTACAGGTCTAGCATTTTGATAATGTACCAATACCCAGAGTAGGTATTATGATGAGGAACTTTTGTTTTTTTTTTTAAGAATGAGTAAAACTTCAACGTGTGAAAATGAATTTTTTATTTCTGTGATTTCTTTTTTTCTGAGTGACGGAAAAGAGAAATGCGTTGCTATTGTCAGCATCGTAAAGATATTCCCACTCAAGGTAAGGCTAAGTGCTTTGTGACAGTATTGTCCTGTTTTGAATGAATTACCAAGTGACTAACTGAAATGATATAAATTATGAAAGTAATGCCAAAACTAAGTCAAAACCTAATAGCCAAAGCATTCGTTACTTAAAAGTTATTAATTATATCATGTTTGGACCTATTTGAACATCTCAGCCCTGTAAAACATTTTTGGTTTTATGACATATGGATAGCAGTTTAATAATAAATCTATCCAAGTCAGCTTTTCGTTTCTCAGTTTTTTTTTAATGATATACATTAAATCTGTTCTTATTGGAAGACATTATCACAGCATGATTGAAAGGAACATTGGTTTTGAAAAGGAAAACCTGAGTTCATCTATAGCCATCGCTAGAATTTTCATGTAAAGATAAATGTGTGTGTTTTTATCGACTTGGTATATTTCACCTTAGTCATTCTATCCTAGAATTATTTTACCATGAGCTTAAAATGTAAATAAATAATTTTGCAAATATGGCCCTTGTTTTCTATATGCCTTGAACTTTTGTAAACAGTTTCAGTATGTTTATCATTGGTTTTTAGAGTGAAAACATCAAAACATTGCATTAAATACATTTTACAAATGCAGAATCTCTGGAGCTCTCACTCCAGACTTACTGACTCAGAGCCTGCATTTAAAACCCTGCCCCCTCACCCCCAATCCCAAAATGATTTGTATGTGATCTAGAGCCCTGCTTCTCCATTTCTGTCACAGAATCAATGACCGTCACACCAGCCAGTTTGGGACCCCTGTGGTGGTTCATAATTTACTTCTAAAATCCTGACAACCTCAGGTGAAGCCCTACTTGGGATTTTGGTTGCTTCAGGCATGCCTTTATTTCACTTGGCCATATTTATGGGTGATTCATAATTTTCAGTTAAGCTGCTTATAAATGATAAGTTATTTGCCACTACTGGCAAAAAAAATTGACCTAAAAGCACATTAAGTTAATAATGCTGAGTACTGAAATATAGAATGGAAATATTGGCCAAACGAGACCTATCTCACAAGCCATGTTTTATTTATGAAGCTTTTATACCAATCTCACACTGCCTTTATGTGACAGGAACTATTATTAACCCCATTTTACAGGTGAAAAAACTGAAAATTAGTGAAGTTATAACTTACTCAAGGCCACACAGCCAGCTCAGTAAGGGACTCAGGACTCACTAGTCAGGCTTGTCTGTTCTAGTATTTTGCAGTGTGACAGGTACCCATTTCTCCTTCTGGCAAACAACATTTAATTGGTACAATTAACTACCTACCATGTGCATTGCTCTCTAAAGAAAAATATAAAAACTATTGATTTTCTGTTTATAAACTGGGGTAGAGTAGTGAAACTTATACACACACAAAATAAATAGAAAAAATTAGATCAGTATGAGAACAATCCAGTTTTGTTGATGGACTCAGTGCTACAGGCACTCAGATAAGCAAGATTAGTGTCCTCGGGTATTTTAACACAGAAAATGGAGAAAGTTCTTAACCTAGCATTAAATATAACTCTGTACTCATTGTTTTGTAGTCTCTCATTCATTTTGCATTGAAAAAAGTCTTACTTTTCTAATATATACCTGATATATATTTTCCCATAATAATGATTAAATTTTGTACCAAAGACCAAAATTTTGACCTAATGCAAAATGTCTGTAACCTGTGAAGTTAAATTTAATATAGTTACTGCAAGTCAAAAAAATGTTTATTCTTTGTTTGCCTCATTTGCAATCAGGATAAATGACTAATTTTGAAAAAAAAATTTTTAATTTGAAATATTAAAAAAATTAAAATTCAAAAAAGGAGCTATAAACTGAATCAGTGAAATAGAGTAGGCAACAGTGTAAAAATAGAACTGGATACCCCTATGTTAAAATAATATTTAATTCTGAGAAATGATGACATGAGATGTACTTTACTAGCTAAGGCAAAGTAAACACTATGAATAGTCCTTACAGCCCAGATGAACGTTTACCAATCATTTTTCTTTCCTGTTTGAGTATCTGTCTTTAAGATCTCAAGCAATAAATAAATATATTAGAATATAGATAGAAGATTAGAAAATAGTATTGTATCAATGTTGATTTACTGAAGTTTATAAGTACTGTGTTTATGTAACAGTATATTCTAAGGAAATACATACTGAAGTATTTAAGAATATATAACCATAACGTATGCAAATTATTCTCAAATCATTCATAACAAAATTACATAGAAACAAATCAAGGAAGCAAAATGTTTAAAAATAGGTAATGGGTACTGACTCATTGGAAAAGACCCTGATGCTGGGGGAGATTGAAGGTGGAAGGAGAAGGGGACGACAGAGGATGAGATGGTTGGATGGCATCACTGACACAATAGACATGAGTTTGAGCAAGCTCTGGAGTTGATGGACAGGGAAGCCTGGCATGCTGCAGTCCATGGGGTTGTGAAGAGTGAGACACCAGATGCTGTCACATCTTAGTTTTCTTAATGTTGAGTTTTAAGCCAACTTTTCACTCTCCTCTTCCACTTTCATCAAGAGGCTCTTTAGTTCTTCACGTACTGCCATAAAGGTGGTGTTATCTGCATATCTGAGGTTATTGATATTTCTCCTGGCGATCTTGATTCCAGCTTGCACTTCATCCAGCCTGGAATTTGCATGATGTACTCTGCATATAAGGTAAATAAGCAGGGTGACAATACACAGCCTTGACATACTGCTGTCCCAATTTGGATCTAGTCTGTTGTTTCATGTCCAGTTCTAACTGCTGCTTACAGAAACCTGCATACATATTTCTCAGGAGGTAGTTCAGGTGGTCTGGTATCCCCATCTCTTTAAGAATTTCCCACAGTTTGTTGTGATCCACACAGTCAAAGCCTTTGGTATAATCAATAAAGCAGAAGTAGACATTTTTCTGGAATTCTTTTGCTTTTTCAGTGAGCCAACGGATGTTGGCAATTTGATCTCTGGTTCCTCTGCCTTTTCTAAATCCAGCTTCAATACCTGAAAGTTCATGGTTCACATACTGTTGAAGTCTGGCTTGGAGAATTTTGAGCATTACTCTTTGCTAGCATGTGAGATGAGTGCAATTGTGTTGTAGTTTGAACATTCTTAGGCATTGCCTTTCTTTGGGGTTGGAATGAAAACTGACCTTTTCCAGTCCTGTGACCACTGCTGAGTTTTCCAAGTTTGCTGACATATTGAGTGTAGCACCTTAACAACATCATCTTTTAGGATTTGAAATAGCTCAACTGGAATTCCATCACCTCGACTAGCTTTGTTTGTACTGATGCTTCCTAAGGCCCACTTGACTTCGCATCCCAGGATGTCTGGTTCAAGGTGAGTGATCACACCATTGTGGTTATCAAAGTCATGAAGATCTTTTTTTGTATAGTTCTTCTGTGTATTCTTGCCACCTTTTTTTTTTTTTCACCTTTTTTTTTTTAAATGTAATACTGTTTATTTAACTTCAAAAACATTTCAACATTCTAAACATACAAAAAAAATAACAGAACATTGCAGATCGTGTTTAATACAGAAGGTTCTTGAACTTTCACTGGTGCAGTGGCTCTTGGCTTTGCTGACAATGAACAGTTCTATAGTTTGTTTAAAAAAAAAAAAAAACAGTTTAAAACTACCACACTTCAACTAAAAAGGATCCAAAACACTTCTCATGCCTGCTGACCCCCCTCCCCTTTCCACAGCTAAGAATGGCAGCGGGATGCTATGTCACTATATACAAAAACAAGACAACCTGAAGCTAAATGGATGCCCACTGCAGTATCCACAGGTCCAGCCCCGCAGTGCACGCCCTGAGCTACGGCCCCTCCGGAAGGCATTGCCCCCACACAGCCTCCACACCAAGCAAGGAGCATCAAGAGTGTGTCTCGGTTGCTTTGTTCTTTTTACAAACTATAGATATGTACAGTTGAGAACTCGGGATTTCTAGCCAATGACCATAGAATTAACACACCACCTTACAAATTTTAAAAAAAAATGCCAGAAACATCTTTAAATGCCTTGTCACACCAACAGCAAAGTGCACAGAGTGAGGAGAACACGAGAGCCTTTTCATTTTAAAAATGTTTGGAAATATGTACAACTTTGATACAGTTTCTAGGTGCTCCAGACACCCATGGCCACTTAATGTAAACCACTTACAACTGCTAGAGCATGTGGAGAGACTAAGATATGATCATGAGCCAATCGGGTGATTAAACCTAATGAGGGCGACAGACACGTCTTGGGTGAGAGGTGTGTCAATCAAGGCGCTCCCTACTCTAAGGTATTCACAAGGAGACAGATCAACAGTATTTTTTTTTTTATTCATCCTCTTCCTCCTCCTCCTCGTCCTCATCCTCCTCCTCGTCCTCCTCCTCCTCCTCTTCATCTTCCTCTTCCACCTTTTTCCGGGCAACTTTAGCAGAACCCTTGGCGCCATCAAACTTCCCTTTAGACTTATAGTCTGCAACATCCTTCTCATACTTCTCCTTCAGCTTTGCTGCCTTGTTGATGTATGGCTGCTTCTCACTGTCACTTAAGTTATTCCACATCTCGCTCAGTTTCTTCGCCACATCTCCAATAGAGATGCCAGGGTTTGTAGACTTGATCTTGGGACGGAATTCAGAGCAAAATAGGAAAAATCCAGATGGTGGTCTCTTGGGGGCATTAGGGTCCTTCTTCTTCTTGCCTCCCTTAGCTGGTCCATAATCCTTCATTTCCCGATCATAGCGCACTTTATCCGCCTTTGCCATCTCATCAAATTTCGACTTCTCTTTCCCGGACATGGTCTTCCACCTCTCAGAGCATTTCTTGGAAAATTCAGCAAAATTGACAGGGACCTCTGGGTTTTTCTTCTTATGTTCCTCTCTGCACGTCTGCACAAAGAAGGCATAAGCAGACATCTTGCCCTTTGGTTTTTTGGGATCACCTTTAGCCATCTTGACTGTATTGTTTGCTAGTCTGCCACCTCCTCTTAATATCTCCTCTTCTTAATATCTTCTGCTTCTGTTAGGTCCATACCATTTCTGTCCTTCTTTGTGCCCATCTTTGCCTGAAAATTTCCCTTGGTATCTCTGATTTTCTTGAACAGATCTCTAGTCCTTCCCATTCTATTGAAAAGGCAAAAAGATATGACACTGAAAGATGAACTCCCCAGGTCGGTAGGTGCCCAATATACTACTGGAGATCAGTGGAGAAATAACTCCGGAAAGAATGAAGGGATGGAGCCAATAGCAAAAAAGTGCCCAGTTGTGGATATGACTGGTGATGGAAGTGAAGTCCGATGCTATAAAGAACAATTTTGCATAGGAACCTGGAATGTTAAGCATGTGAATCAAGGTAAATTGAAAGTGGTCAAACAGGAGATGGCAAGAGTGAATGTTGACATTTTAGCAATCAGTGAACTCAAATGGACTGGAATGAGTGAATTTAACTCAGATGAACATTATATCTACTACTGTGGGCAAGAGTTCTTTAGAAGAAATGGAGTAGTCCTCA